TTCTGAGAGCAGTTTTTTGCCAAGTGATTGTCCAGGATAATTACGCCAACGCTCAAGATGTTGTCCCCTGGACCATTTGTTGATTACATGTTTAGCGGCCGCTTTGCTGATGCCACAAAATGGCTCTGGTCCAAAGAGTGGTGTAGTGAGCTGACAGATTTATCAGCTGACAGATGTTTTAAATAGTTTATTGAATTTTGGGTTGCTATGAAAAGAAAAATAAACAAAGAGACATTCTTTTAGGCTTTTCAACCAAAGTGGTTCATTTTTATTTGCTCTAAACAATTAATTGTTAATTACTTGTAAAAGTATGATAAATTAAACAATAATATTTAGTGGAAACCTCTGGACTTTTATTTAAAGTATTTATCCTATATAAATGAGGTTCTTTTCACTAAAATTGGTGACCCCGACGTGAACACATCAAGAATACATAATGGAAGTCAATGAACAAGTATTGGCAAGACTAAAACTGATGGAAGAGCAAAACCAAAATCTCAGAAAACAACTTAATGATGTAATTGGAGTTGACTCTGAACATTCAAGACAAAATCATGATTCAGAAGAAGATCTTTTGGTTAATCCAATGAATCAGAAAACTCAAGAACGAAACAATTCAGTAAATCCAAGACCGTCTGAAAACATAACTTCAATTCAATCTCCACAATTAAAATTTCCCCATTTTTGGCGTGAGAAACCAGCACTTTGGTTCATACAGATTGAGGCAATTTTCTCTTTATAGCACATTTTTGATGAGAACCTTCGTTTCACACACGTTGTGACACACTTAGATGAGATGACTGCTTCCGAAATAGAGGATTTACTCTCAAACCCAAATCTGGAAAACCCTTACACGAGCCTGAAGAAAGAATTAATAAGAAGATTATCAGTCTCGGAACATAAGAAAATTAAACAGTTACTTGTAGAAGAAGAACTCGGTACAGATACGCCATCACACTTTCTCAGAAGACTGAAATCGTTAGCTGGCAGCAGCGTTCAAGATGACTTGCTGAGGATAATCTGGATGCAGCGACTTCCTGCGCATATTCAAGGCATCCTCCAAACCCAGTTAGGCGCTGGGGTCAGTACCGAATCATTGGCCGTTACAGCGGACAAGATCCAGGAGGTTCAACCTTTGAGTTCACCTGCAATGAGCTGTGACGCTATTTTGTCAAACCGAGGTAAGCCAACAAATACCTTTTCTCAGAACCCACATAGTCACAACAATCTCAATCAAGGAGGAGGTTTTGAGGCAATTTTGGAGAAACTTTCAATGCTGGAGGAGAAAGTTAACTGTCTTTCAGACGACTTGATGACATATAAAAATAGTAAGTTCAGATCGCAAAGTCAGAGCCAGCCCAGTAAACAGCATAGTACCTCACCCCACAATGACATCTACTGCTGGTATCATAAACGTTATGGATCACGAGCCACCAAATGCGTGACTCCTTGCACTTATCCTTCTACAAAAAACGAGCTAGGCAACTAGATGCGGTGTCGACTAGTTGTCATGTGCCTAGACGCCAAACTCATGAATCACCCGGTGACCCGGTGGTTGACAGCAACCACAGCAACAGGTTACAAGTAATTGATAACAATTCAGGCTATAAGTTTCTGATAGACACAGGTTCAGACGTAAGTTGTATACCACTAAATTTAGTCAAAAGACCCTTAAAACCATCTGGGATAGAACTCAGAGCTGCAAATAACTCTGAAATACCCACTTATGGTAGTTTATGTCTCAACTTAAATATTGGTCTACAAAGAACTCTAGTCTGGAATTTCATAATAGCTAAAGTAAACACTCCAATCATTGGTTCTGACTTCCTAGCTCACTATTCTTTATTACCTGATTGTAGTAACGGTTTCTTAATTGACAACATTACACAATTAAAAAGTAAATGTCAGTTCATGAATACTCAGCAATATAGTATTAAATTAATTACTTCCGACCCATCAAACTATCCACTGTTATTGGAATTTCCAGAAATCACAAAACCTTTAGGAGTAGCCTACCAAGATTTATTCCTCATAACACAGTGCATTACATAAATACGACTCCTGGCCCACCAGTCTCATCAAGACCAAGAAGGTTAGCTCCAGATAAATATAAAATTGCCAAATTAGAGTTTGAATCCATGGTAGCAAATGGAACTGCGTGTCGTTCCAAAAGCCCATGGTCATCACCACTTCATATGGTACCTAAAAAGAATGATGAGTGGCGACCATGTGGCGATCACCGAGCATTGAATGCTCGCACTATTCCAGATTCTTACCCTGTTCGACATATCCATGATTTCTCAAATTGTTTACACGGTAGTAAAGTTTTCACTGTGATAGATCTTGTAAAGGCATATACCCAAATCCCGGTTAATAAAGAAGACGTGCCCAAGACTGCAATAACGACCCCATTCGGTCTCTTTGAGTTCCCGTTCATGTCTTTCGGTTTGAGGAATGCTGGTCAAACTTTTCAAAGGTTTATTGATGAAGTCGTAGAGGGACTAAGTTTTTGTTTCCCCTACATTGACGATATCCTTGTTTTCTCAAAAGATCCTGTCGAGCACGAAGAACACCTCCGTATTCTGTTCAAGAGGTTAGTCAAATATGGCGTCCTTATAAATGTGAAGAAATCTGTATTTAACACTGACTCAGTAGTTTTTTTGGGATATCAAGTAACCGCTGACGGAACCAGGCCTGTGCCTGATCGCATTGACGCCCTTCAGAATTATCCTTTGCCACAAACTGCCAAAGGTCTTAGGCGATTTTTGGGAATGTTGAACTTTTACCGCAGGTTTATTCCTCACGCTGCAGAATTTCAAGCCCCTCTCCACACTGTCCTTTCGTCATTAAAAGGGAATCAGAAAGTCCCTTGGACCGATGTATTGACTGAAAAATTCAGTAAATGTAAGGATCATTTAGCCGAAGCCACATTACTTTGTCACCCCAACGCTAATGGTAAATTAGCATTTTTTTGTGATGCATCGAATACTGCAGTAGGATCAGTACTACAACAATTGAATCAAGATGGAATATGGGAACCTCTGTCCTTCTTTTCCCAAAAACTAACACCTAAGCAAGCCAGTTGGCCCGCTTATTATAGGGAATTGTTTGCCATCTATTCGTCTGTTAAACATTTCAGACATATATTAGAAGCTAACTCCTGTACTATCTATACTGATCACAAGCCCATCACTTTCGTTTTTCAACAAAAGAAGGACAAACTACCTCCTGTTCAAACTAACCATCTCTCATTTATCTCACAGTTCACGACTGACATTCAACATGTTTCTGGTGCTTCAAACATAGTAGCAGACAGTTTTTCTAGGATAGAATCTATTTCTGCCAACAAGACTAGTAAAATTGATCTGCATCTCTTGGCAGATTCTCAATCTAATGATGAGGAACTTAAGTCTATTCTCGAAAACAGTACTTCACTTTGTCTTCAACCAGTTCCAGTTCCTGGCTCTGATGTTTTTGTCTACTGCGATACAAAGAACGGTAGTGAACGATTGTATATCCCCAAATGTTTACGCAGAGAAGCGTTTAATTCAATCCATAACTTAAGTCACCCTGGTATAAAATCCATGAATAAAATGTTAACTTCAAGATATGTTTGGCCTTCAATAAATCGTGATTGTAAAGAGTGGACCTTGTCCTGTCGAGAGTGTCAACGTTCAAAAATTACTCGTCATGTTCAAACACCTATCAACGATTTCCCTTTGCCAAATTGTAGATTTGAACATATTCATGTGGATATCATCGGCCCATTACCCCAAGTTGGAAATCTTCGTTACTGTCTTACAGTAGTAGATAGGTTCACCAGATGGCCGGAAGCACACCCCTTGCAAGGTATCTCTGCAGAAGAAGTCTCGTCAGCTCTTTTCAATTGTTGGATATCAAGGTATGGTGTTCCCTTGCGAATAACAACAGACCAGGGTAAACAATTTGAATCTGCACTCTTTGCTGAGTTGGGAAAATTGTGTGGATTTTCAAGATTAAGGACAACAAGTTACCACCCGTGCGCAAATGGCATGGTGGAACGTTTCCACAGACAACTCAAGGCAGCCATCATGTGCCACTCCGCCTCCACGTGGGTCGAATCCTTACCCACAGTGCTTCTTGGAATAAGAAATGCTTTCCGTGTGGATCTGAACACCTCGTCTGCTGAAATGGTTTTTGGAGAGGTTTTACGCCTCCCTGGCGAGTATTTTATGCCAACAACCCAGCTAGCACCCTTAGAGGATCCGACTAATTTTGTGTCTCGATTACGACTCAAGATTTCATCATTAAAACCAACAAATATCAAGAGACACGGCATTAACCGAAGCTTCATTTTTCGTGATTTGGACACATGTTTGCACGTTTTTCTGAGAGTAGATGCTGTGAGAAAATCTTTACAACATCCATACACCGGACCTCATCCAGTGATCAAGAAAGACAGTAAAACTATCACGATAAAAGTGAATGGTTCTATTGTTAAAGTTAGTCTTGACAGAGTTAAACCAGCCTATGTCCTTCAGAATGATGAAGTTAAGCCCTCAACTGTATCTCAAACTTCAAAGGATGTGGATTTTCAAAAGTCATATACGACAAAGTCTGGAAGAAAAGTGACATTCAAGAATCCAATTTCAGTTTGATGGAAATCGCCTTTGTCCTTGCTGATATTATTATTTTTTTTGTTATTTTTTTTGTGACTTTTTGGAACCCTCCAAAACTCCATGGACTTCCAGTCTTCGTAGGGGGCTCCTGTAGTGAGCTGACAGATTTATCAGCTGACAGATGTTTTAAATAGTTTATTGAATTTTGGGTTGCTATGAAAAGAAAAATAAACAAAGAGACATTCTTTTAGGCTTTTCAACCAAAGTGGTTCATTTTTATTTGCTCTAAACAATTAATTGTTAATTACTTGTAAAAGTATGATAAATTAAACAATAATATTTAGTGGAAACCTCTGGACTTTTATTTAAAGTATTTATCCTATATAAATGAGGTTCTTTTCACTAAAGTGGCATGCTCGCACCTTTTTTTGCCAGCTTGTCTGCACTTTCGTTGCCGCCAATGCCTACATGGCCTGGGACCCAGCCGAGAGTTACAGAGTTCTGTGATGCAAGTCTGCAGAGGGTGTTGAAACACTCCCAGACCAGTTTTGAGGTGACTTCATTTGAGTCAAGAGCTTTGAGAGCAGCCTGACAATCAGATAAAATCACTATCCTTTTGTCTTGGTACCGTCTGGCTAGTCCTAGGTTGGCACAAGCCAAGATGCCATAGATTTCTGCCTGGAAGATGGTACAGTATTGTCCCAGACTTCCTGATAGTTCTCTTCTGGGTGATCGACAGTAAACCCCAAAACCAGATTTTCCATCGATTAGGGAGCCGTCTGTGTACCATATGAAGCTCTCCATATCTTGGAGATGCCCTTCCTGATGTTTCCACTCATCTCTGGAGCGGAATTCAACATTAAAGGGTTTGGTGAAAACTGCTTCCTTGCTTAGGAAGTCCGAGGTCATGTCAAGCACAGGACACTCAGCCAAAGTCTTAGCAATGGCGCAGTGGCCTGCCCCTGACAGGCCTTCCCTCCAAAGATTTGCAACCCTCAGACGGTAAGCTGCCTTGAGGGCCTCAGATCTGATGAAGATGTCCAGTGGTAGCAGCCCAAGAGCGACTTCTAGAGTAGCTGATGGACTGCTCCTGAAGGCTCCAGTGGCCTGTAGCGTGCCGAGCCTTTGCATGCTTTCTAGCTTGGCTATGACAGTTACCTGATTCACCTTTGTCCACCAGACTAGTGAACCATAGGTAATCTGAGGCCTGACCACAGCCTCGTATGTGCCTTCATCTTACATATCTTTTAATTTATTATTGACATTTTAAATTTCAATTTTGAAGTTGCAAAAATACTAATTATTAAATTTAAATGAACATTTTTAGCGAATTTCCCATATAGGGAATAAGCTATTACTGTAGTACTCATCGTAAGACCTGGACGCGGGACCGATTTTTTTTTTCGTTTTGAGGTCCCTAGAGGCCAAAAACACCATCCGTTCAAATTCATATATATATATATGTGTGTCCGTCAGCACGATAACTCAAGCAAAGATGATCCGATTTTGATGAAATTTGGTACAAACGTGTAAACGTACGTTTATTCGAACGAGTTCGCGATCCAGCATGATCGGACCATGGGAACGGGGGTTTACGGGGGGTTTTATGGGGTAAAAATAGGTTTTTCCCATTTTTGACCCAAAAAACATAAAATTTAGCAATTTCTTACCAAAGCATTTTGTAGAGCTTAAAAAAACAAATAATTAAGTATATTGAAGCGTTATTATGAGCCTAATGGTTACGGAGAAAATTCCAAAAAATGGTAAATTTAAAATTCCTATGTTATATTCTTACTAGCTGTAACCCGCGGGCTTTGCCCCGTTTAACTTCTTAATTTTCAAGATTATCTCGTTCGCATGGCTCAATCACGTCCTGGTTGAAGTTTGTTCGCTACGCTCACTCACCTTTAGGTTGGAGCTCGTTCGCTACGCTCACTCACCTTTAGGTTGGAGCTCGTTCGCTGCGCTCACTTGCCTTCAGGTTAGCTCGTTCGCTACGCTAACTTGCCTCCAGGTTGAAGTTCGTTCGCTACGCTCACTCACCTTTTGGTTGCAAATTAGCTGTCATAAATGTAAAAGAAATAATAGTGCTGCACCCTGTTGGTAATCCTTGTAACTTTAATGCTATTGAACATCGTAGAACAGAACCAACTTGTTTAATCGAAACAGCTGTTAAGATTCAATAATTCCATTTCTCATCAAGTTAACATGGGAAACTCCAGAGCCACTGGGGCGGAGCCCGAAAGGATTTTTGAAATAAGAATATGCCTATATGTTAATCGGGAATGTGAGCTATCATCATGCCAAATTTCAGCCCAATCCGACCAGTATTTTTCGCGTTCACTTGTCACAAACATACATCCATACATCCATACATCCAAACTTTCTCATTTATAATATTAGTAGGATGGAGAATAAGTAAACTGTTGTAGTTTGCTTGTTTGTGAACGTATTTTGATCAAATTTGGAAAATGTTTTTATTTCTTACTAACTATTCACATTTTACAAAAAAAAAAAAAAAAAAAAAAAAAAAAAACAGTTTTACGGTACCCTCCCTGATGCAGCAAACCTAAGTACTTGTTAAACTAATTCTATTTAAATCAAGAATAAATGTTATATTTTTAAGTAGACATTTCAGTGTAAATCCAATCAGTCAAATGGAAATTCGCTTAGTCTGCAGGTTTGCTGCGGCGGGGGTATTTTTAATTTCACTCTTCTTTATATTACATCACAAATCCTTCCATCTTCAGTTTCTTCACTCACAATAAATCATTAGCTAAGTCAGCTGTTATAAACTTTAGAAATATTGCTGTGCCTTATCAATACAGTTTTTTTGAAATATGAAAGAAACTATGTCTATAGGTACTATACAAAATTTTAAACAAATAATTTAGCATTAAAGACAGCAGACAAAACTAATATGATTATCAAAGCATCAAGGACTAAAAAATTTAATAGCAAATACAGTATATGTTTCATTGCATCTCTGATTCTACTCTACAAAAATATCAACAAACAACTTAATATACAAACCAGTACTTTTAATCAGTTTCATCGTCCATTGCCTTAACATTTTCACACTTACCATTAAGTAAACATAGTTACAGATATTTCATTGATTTTAGAAACAAAAAAACACTGTGTACTGCTTAGTTTTATGATATTTTCCTTGGTTTAATTTAATCAGTGGTGTGGCAAAACACAAATAATAAATGTATCAAATAAAGGAAATGTGAACTGAAAGCTACGTAAAGATAAAATAAGAGTATTTTGTACTATTTGATAGTCAAATATAGTTACACATATACAACAGATTTTAGAAAACAAAAATCAACGACGTATAATTTAGTTATTGAGCAAAACATAATAACTTAATTTACCTAAATATACTTATAAAAAACAATGTGATGTGCAAGTTATGTTAAGTTAATCTAACACATGTTAAGCAGTTAGAATTTATTTAAAGTAGCCTCCAAATTCATATAAAACATCTATACTTTGAAATTTTTATACTGTTTCCATGAAAACATATCAATAACATTATTTTCATAACTTGGACACTTTAAAAAATCGAAAGCAAAGCCGGAGTTGATACAGCAACGGTTATAGAATCTTTTTTTCTATAATCATTGACTTAGTTTTAGAATAAATAATCCATGATAAAAGGTTAGTTTAAGTAAACCTACCTCAAAGTTATGGAAAATATTATATTTAATTTCTTTGTATCAGCTGTCTGAAATTGTGAAATAATATGCAGTTTAGCAGTTCTTCTTGTTTACATTTAAATGTCAAAGCAAATGTAAACAAACATTGTTAGGGTTCTCATCACAGCCATGGAGACCAATCAATATTTACTTTTAAAAGGTTCACTTCAGAACTTTTAAAGCCAAAGGGGCAAAGCCTTTGGTCAGTATCGAAATGTGAATAGTCCTATAATGGTCCTTGGTATGGTTGCTATATTTTTGTACAATTTAAGCCCAGTTGGTTCAGTAGTTTTTGCACCTATTAGTAATACACATACAGACACCATTAGATGTTTATATAATAGTATAGAAGTATAGATATAGATATAGATATAGATAAAACCCCCTTTCTGAAAGTTACATCTTTATTTTTTTTTTATCAACATTAATAATTGATACCTATTTCATGGGTTAGGTTGAACTTCATGTACATTTTACGACAAAAACATTCATATTTCAATATCTTGTTTTACCTCTAATTAAAGGCTTGAATAAATATACCAATAAAAAAGTGTAATTTTTTATTAAATTAAAACCATTTTTATTTATTGGAAATTCTATTTCTTTTTTCTTCTGATCTTCTTAGGATTACTAACTACAGTTTTAATAGTCAATGGTTTGAATGAGTGAGATATGGGCAATTTTCTTTTCTCTATTTGATCTGGTTTTGATCCTTCTACTTTTTCCTTGAAGCTCTTTTTCTCCTTGCTCTTTTTCTTATGATTACCCTTTTGTTTTACTTCGCCGCTAAAGTATCTCTCATTGGTTGTTTTAGATTTTTTTATTCCCTTATTTTTAAATAGCTTATCATCAGGTGCAACGGCAGTTTGAGATTCCATGTCTTCATCATTCATTGGCTCCGTGTCGAGTAACATTTGATCAGGGTTGTTATCAACAAAGAATATATTGTCTTCATCTAAACTGTCACAATCACTATCATCGTCGTTGATGTTCCCTTTTTCAGAGGTTTTGAAAACATTGACACTTGAATGTTTTGAAATCTTGCTTTCACTTTTACTGAAACCTATAAAATCTGCATCCATAACATCTTTTGACGTATCACTAACTTTGATTATTTTCTCACCATTTGTTCCCATTCCAGGTCTAAATACTCTTTCACTTCCTTTATCTCTATAAAGATATAACACTTTTGGTTTAGTGGAAGGGTCACAGAAAACCGGTGCTTTATTTTTAACAACTGTGGATTCCTCTTGTTTTTTATTTACAAGTTGTTCACTTTTACTTTTGTCAAACGGTGTTGTCAAAACTGAGGGATTTTGGGAAATTATTTGATAGATAGGGTAAAACTGATTATTTGGAGTGTCTGCAATTTTCTGAAAGAAGAAAAAATAAGGTTATTAAATAATAACAATAAAAAACTTATATCCTTAGTAGAGTAAAAAATTATCAAATACAGTGATTGACTGTACACCATTGCCAACAGAACTTATAATGTATGACACTAAAATTTTTTTATGTAAAAGTGTTCAAACCCCTTAATTTTGTGTGTGTATGCCTGGGTTTGAATCCGTTTCACAAGCACCAAAGTCCTAGACACAACTTACTTACTAGCTAGTAACACACCAAATGCTTATGACAATGCTGGTAAAACAATATAACGTGGTAGCTCAAACATAAGACAGAATAAGGTCCATAAAGTCGGAAGTTACAAACATGTATTTGAATAACGTACTCAAAAATACAGGATGAGGATATTTGTATTTTACAGCTTCCTTAGACCATCCAAATTAGTTTATTTCAGATGGTCACTATATTAAAGTGATTTTAGTCAGAGGATATGTAAAAACTGTTTTTCATACAAAAACCTTTTAAGTCATACACTTTTATCCAGGCATTAGAATTGGAATGCCCTAGTCATAACTTATTTAATACTTCATCTAATGACAACATATTTTACTGTGAAATTTGAAACAAATAGAAAATATACAGTACATTTATGCAATCTCATGACTTGGTAGACATATGTCACAGTTCCTACAAAAAATAAATCACTGTGAACACTATCACATTAATTTAACAGTTTCCCATAATAAGAAATTTTAAAATATTACAGAAGGAACTGTAATGGATTTATTGGGGGCCCTGAGTATAACTTTCTAATTTGAATACACCTTGAGGTTTTTTCTGAAGCAATCTTGAATGTACCAAATATTTGGAATTCAATTTACACAATATACTTGATTAAAACTAATAGAAAACGTATAAACGACATTAATATGAATACTCTTGGTTCGATAGGCCTTGCACAGGTACGCAACATTGCCGGTAAGCGAACAGAAACAGACTTTTAAATGTATGTAATAATAAATGATAATAATAATAATCTCTTTATTGCTTTTTGACAATCGTACATTGTATAGCAAACGTCAGTCAATACAAAAAATGCAACATATAAGATAAAATATAATATATAGCTGTGTAAACTAAGGTCGGAAATTGGGTAGGTATTTATTTATAAAATCTATATATATATACTATGTAAAAACAGTAGGGAAATGAATAAACTATTAATTAATAACAATAAATAAACTCCTATCAAAAGAAATAACAGTAATTATTTTAATAAACATTCACTAAAATCTAACTAAACCCCTGGGGAAGAAAATGTTGTAATCAATTCAACTCCAACAGTATTTAGTGAACTCATCTACCCCGTAGAACACAAGATTCGTCAACTCTCTCTTCAGTCTTGTTTTGAACAAATGAGAACGTATGTGTCATGTATTCAAAATAGTAGAGGTTACAAGTTTCTCTCGTAGGCTCTTTTGAACGTCTTATTCATCAATAATGGATCTCCAGCTAAGCAATTTAAGTCATCAACATTTAATTGTAAACAAATAGAATTAATTTTGTACCTTGAGGCCCAACGCCATAGTTGAGAAGCCTAGAGTAGTCTTGGTAATGTGTTTCAATTGAGGGACTACCATGAGAGGAACATTGTTGCTGTGACAGTAACTACAGATGACTCTCGGTATCATGGGAGGACTGATGTCTCCGGCCATCATCACACAACTAAGTTCACCCTTCTCTAATCCTCTGGTAACAGACTGGAATCCCGGAGTGAGGTAGGATCTGAGAATGATTTACAATCAAATCTTTAGGCATTGAAAGTTTTGAAAATGATTAACTTTAACACAATCAGAATGTAACAGGATTAGGTTTTACCTTTGGCTGCTGATAAAACCAGACATTCCATCTCCGTTTTAAAGTTTTGCTGGATTCATAATAAAAAACAACATAGTTTTATTACACCAACGACAGAGTGCTGATGTAGCCTAACTTATTATTGGCACAGAACTACGGTATAATGAACGACGTGACGAAGGAAAAATGAGAAATTTTTTAACCAAGTTAAACTGGTAGAATAACTTTTTGTGAGCTATAGCATCTATATAATAATTAGGCATCCAAACAAGACAGGTAATTAGGCCTGCCTAAAGAGGAAGGAGGGCTCAAGTTTTTTGCATGTTCAGGACAGCTGGATATTTTTTGCAAATTGTCTGTAATTTAAGCTACAAAATGAGCTACTGTCACAATTAAGCAAGCTAGTTCAAATCTGACACCAGCACAGTTTTTCTTACTTAATTTACTACTATTGTAGCCAGTTCTCACCCATCTTTGATAATTAGTATTTAGGGCTACCAGGGTATAAATGGCCTTGATAGTCTCAAGAGAAGTCCCCTACAATTCGGGAGCCTTTAGTCACACTTTGCAATTCGCAAGAAAAAAAAATTGCTCCGATTTTTGTATGACGGAAATGAAATTCATGAATGACAGTAGTTGGCCAAACAATGTAAACACCAAGAAAATATTAACGACCACATGCAAACTCTTTCCACTTGATACGCAAAGCATTTACGTTTAGACACTTTTCTCCATTCAAGTCCGTATATACTTCAACAAGAGTTCACTCCACAGAAATATGATTATAACATGTGATTTATAACTATTCGTCCCATAGGGGTAGGAACTGATATTAGTGAAAGTAGTGAATGAAGTACAGAAAAGGCGCAAACATCATATTTGAAACCTTAAATCCACAGGCAACCTTTGTAACAGACAGGGATTTGTTCCAGGTCTTTCTCTAATGTAATATTTAATATGGGGAACTGCTTTCATTGTTTTACAAACTATTTTAGAAATGAAAATGTTGGTACTGTAGTTTTTAAGCGAAAACAAAATTTTAACCAATCGCTGAAGAAAATTTTCATAGAATTTGTTTAATAACGTATTCTAGACTACCTCTTACCTGAAAACATTGTTGTGCTTTTTTAATATAGGTTTTTCTGGGTGATTTTTTCCTTCAGCTTCTTTGGAAATGAGCTTGAGACTTTTGTTTTCTAATTTTGCCAATGGTAGAAGCCTGTGCAAAATATTGATAGTTATTCTCAATTACACACTCAAAAATGAAAGTGAAAATTAAGTTGTCTTTACTTAGCTGCAAAGGAAAGACCCTATGAAAAACTGTCACCCTCCGCACAGTTGCAGTGGGGATTGTAAAAATAGTCTGAAGATTTTGATAATACGAGGGCAGTTCGGAAAATAACCTCCATTTGCTTCTTGCGTGGGAAGTGGAGCGGGTAGCGCTGCCATGCTTGAGCCTGCGTGCGTCGCAGGTCAATCGGCGTCCAGCCGTAGTAGTTTAAAGGTGATCAGTTTTTTTGCCGTCGCTCGTCAAAATGAGTACTGCAATCGAAAATCCCGCCAAGTGTGAGGTGCGTGCTGTGATTCGGTTTTTGTAGCTAAATAGTATTCCGCAGCAGCTATTCATAGAGAACTTTGTGCTGTGTTTGGATCCAAAATAACAGGTAAAGGAGTTGTTCGGGAATTGGTTCACTCGTTTAAAAATGGCCGAACGAATGTGCATGATGAAGAAAGAAGTGGCAGGTCATCTGTGGAAAGTGATGAACTGGTTGAGAAAATCAACACAAATATTTGAAACAACCAACGATTCACCATCTCAGAATTTTCTGACGAATTTCACAAATTTCCAGGACTGTCCTGTACGAAATTGTGACTTCCTTAAGTTGCCATAGATTTTGTGCTCAATGGGGCAACTGTGTTTTAGGACTCCAAAGGGGTACTGCTGGTTGAATTTATGGAACGTGGTGCAACAATCAATGTAGATTCGTACGTTGAAACTCTGAAGAACCTAAGACGGGTGATCCAAAACAAATGCTGAGGTCTTCTGTCGTCTTGCGTCGTCCTTCTGCATGACAAAGCACATCCTCATACTGCCCAGAAAACCTTATAGACCAGTTCAAATGGGATGTTTTTCGCATTCTCCATAAAGCCTAGAATCTGAGCGACTACTGCCTCATCAATCACATAAAAAAAGGCTTGGCTCCCAGCGATTTGACGATGATAGGAATGAGAGGAACTGAAAGATGCAGTCATGGGATGGCTCAAGGCACTTGCGTGTGATGTTTTTGAAGGGGAAGTTAGTTCGAAGTGTTTAAATATCCAAGGAAACTAGTTTGAAAAGTAAAGGAAAGACGTAGTTTTAAGATGTATATCATAAAATTTGTTGTTTGTACTTCTGTATTTTATTTATAGAAAAACAGATGTCACTTTCCCAACAGCCCTCGTAATGAACAATTACCATAATCACAATCAATTTATACTCTGTTCCTAAATTTGTGTTTTTATATTTACTACTCAAATAAACATTTAAATTATTTGTTACTTAAGCATAATCTCTGTGGTTGCAGAAAAGTTTATGTTCTGAGTGAATTTTCTTTCTAACGACTATGCTAAAGAAGTAACTTTTAGAAACAGCAAATCAAGCCCTCCACAAGATACAACTTAATATTTTATTTCAAGTGACTTTGAAGCAATTAACCTATTCCACATAGCTACTAAATCAGCAAAATTACCTTGCTACCATCTTTGAAAAATCATGTAAAAATAAGTTTTTCTCATTATAGTACCTAGTATCTGATTATTATATTTGTAAATGCCGCCTCTTAGCTTTAAAAAATAGATGGCCAATAAATATATTATATTGCTTTAACAAACTGGATCTGTACAGATTTATCTCATTAATCATTATTCATAAGTTAATTTCATTTTACTTAGTGGAAATTATCTGTTCTTTAAAAACAGGAGTACCTCGACTAAATTAAAACTGGATTTAACTATGTCAACTAATTGTTTTACATAAATTTTAAGCATATAATTGTCTAAACTAGAACAATTCTTAACAATACATACTCTTCCAAGACTTTCTGAAGTGCTGCCACACATTCTGGATTACCGTCAGACCTAAAAAATTGAAGACATGAACAACTTGTTTTTATAAACAATTCACAGTTAATCCCTAGGTATGGGTGCTGACCATCGCTGAATCTTTATCTCTTTAAATTATACTGGGGGCCAATAGCAGCAATTGCTGCCACCACCTCCATTGTAATTTGGCCTTAACCCTATGCTGTGCACCATTCCTAAATACTCTCCTTCGTAGTCGGGGTCTTCCCCTACCACGATACAATTCAACACTCCATTACCGTTCCAACCTTAAAAAATTAAAACACTAAAATTAATAAACAAACAAATATGTAATGTTTACATCAGCTGGTCCTATTTAAAACAGCTTATAGAACCACTGTAGCAGTAATTCCAGTACAAAATTACTGGATCTTTGACGGCCTGTGTTGAAGAGCAAGGGTAATTTTTGACACTTCTGATATTTTTACTTGGACCTTAAGCTTTAAAATGAATCCTCAACATCCATGCTACCTTTTTCCTAGCTCGAGATATTTCATGGGGACCAATTGGCTTACAGGAATTAAATATATAGGCCTAGATTAGCTGAGTGTATATTTAATATTTACACTACACAATTTTTTTTATTTGTAATGAGAAGATTGTTCAGGACTGAAATGAGCTATGGTGACCATAATTTTGCAACAGCATCTAAATCGAGTACCGCTGTAACTTAGGTTACGTTGTCTTTGCAACAACCATTTTCTGGTAAATATTAAGAAACCACCACCAATGCTGATAATTTTACCTTAAGTAAAAGATATATGATTAAGAAAAACACTTGTTTATTAATTAATTCATTTTGTCCCCTTAAGTTACAAAGGCCAATATATTGGTTATCAATAGTGACATGACAAAAACTCATCTTAAGACTATTTACAACTAGTTGTTCTCCCTGTGGCCTCCCCGGGCCTCGCCACGGGGAGAAAACACAGAGAAGATCGGTTCTTTACCACCTCATCCAATGTAAATTGCTCGATTATGAGGTGCTTGTTTTTTATGTAAATTAGTTTAATCAATGTCCATGTCACAAGGCGAAATACTCTACAGATGGGGTTTTTTTTACCAGTTAGGCCTATAACACATAAGGCTCCTCCAAACTATGGTTATTGTGTCACTTAATTATATCTACAACATTTGTCTGCAACATAAATTGCTGTGGTTTTTTTAATACTGAGCTAACTTAATAAGTAAATAACATAAATCAATGAACATAATTTAAAGCTTTGAACACTATCCCACATTATAAGAAAAACGCACAATCACCTCTTTCGATGCAATATAGAAATTGAATGGAAGAATCAAAAGGTTAACTCAAGGAAAAGGAAACAAATACATGGGGAGCAAATTTTGTTTATGTATATGCCGAGTGGGCTGTATATAAATATATGCCGATACTTGATGTGAAATCTGTACGTGCATGTACATTCAATTTGATACCTCAATCATAAAAATAGGTTGGGTAGAAGAGCCAAACAAACTCGGGAAAGAAAACCCAAATTTAACTCCCATAAGAAATACATGGGAAGCAAATTTCGTTTACGTATAAGCCGAGTGGGACTGTAGATAAAAGCTTAGGGGTCTACAAAGTTTTACAGCTAGGAGACCAAACATCGAGTGTACAAATCCTGTCTCAGTCAGATCTGGTGAGATCTGGTCATGAAGAGTTCAACTGTTTGTGACAGAGGCTGACACAAAATAACCTGTTGATGGCCTAGGGCATAATCTTGTTGATTGTCTCTCAACTAAAAATTATAGTGACAACCACCAGATTGGCTGTATGTGTAGCTGGATATTTCTTCTTTTTTCTACAGATTTTAGCATCATATAACTCCCATGATCAAACATGGGGTAAAGAATGTTATGCCAGGTTTTAATGAAAACGAAGAGGATAAAATGAGTGCTAAACCATATTCATGTAAGCAGGGCCGCCCCGAGGGCGGGGCGACCGCACTGAGCGCCACGGCTAGTGAAGCGCTGCGGCTTTGGAAGGTAAAAAATTTAACAACTTTATCAGCAAACCTCAAAGGAATATTTTACGGGAAACTTGTAAACATGTAATCAATGACAATGACTATTCTAAAAAAAGGCAATCCATAGCTTTAGTTTTATTTATAAAATAAATACTGTTAATTAATATACAGGGTGACACAAAAGAACTGGGCGTTTTTTAAACAGCTGTTCCATTGTTGTCGCAAGTGATAGGAAGATTAAAGTTATGCCATTACCTTCAGTGAGGCTTGCCATTTTTGTTGAAATGGCTCAGTGGACCCTAGACCATCGCGTTTTCGCATACAATACTTTGCTCCGAAATGGTGAATCCGTCGTCAAATCCAGCGGGAACTTAGTCGAAATTTTAATATTGAACGCCATGAAACGGTTCCAAGCCGAAATACGCTATTAAGATGGGTTTTAGGGTTCCGACCGAACAACTGGGAATATAACAAGAAAGAAACCACCAGGCCTTGTTAGAACTTCGAGAACACCCGAAAACATCGCAGTATTGAACATTGAGAACACCCGAGAGCAGTATTGAATGAATGTTTCCTAACAAGGTGATTTCTCGCTTTGGCGAGACATACTGTGGCCGCCAAGATCACATGGCTTATCCACTAGTGATTATATATCCTTCGGGGGTTTCTTAAGGAGCGTGTTCATGCTCACAAACCACGCACTCTAGAGGATTTGAAGTTTGCAATCAAAGAATATATCAATGGCATTGAACAAGACCTCCTGACCCAATTTTCAGATGATTTTCAGACCAGAATGAACATTTGTAGATAAGTACATGGCCACCATATGTATGACGTCATTTTAAAAAAATGACTGTTTTGTAACAAAAATGTCAAATGTTTACCTCACTATGTACAGTATTAAAACCATTTTATTCCTTTTAACTACTGTGTAGCCTACTACTTATTTAAAAACATACGGTTCCTTTGTGTCACCCTGTACAACTCGTACTATTACTACTTTCACGTCTGGCATGTGACTTATTGGCAATACTGCGTATTCGCCCACACGCCCCAGCCCCACCTACACTTGCTTGTTTCTAACCTCAAAGCTCAAACTCTTACGTCAACTCATAGTCGTTTTGTGATGTCCGTTGTGAGCCGTAAATTCAATGTTTTTAGTAATTTAGTTCAGTGTAGTTGTTACGTTTATAAAAAGTACTTGCAAAACGTTTGATATTGATATATCGGATATTGATATTGATCGGATTTGATATTGATATTGACGCAAACGCCACAAATATAGGTACATTTTTTGGGGAGGAGGCGAAAATTTAAATCTCGCCCCAGGCATCTATTAGGCTACCCTCGGGGCGGCCCTGCATGTAAGTTATGAGAAGTGCTAACAAAGATTTAAAAAAATACAAAAAAAACAGACAAAATCACCAAGTAAGTAAAACTAAGCAACTGAGAAAGTCTTCATTGGAGCATGTTTTACAGAATAGGCCTAGGCTATTATTACAAATGCCTAAGTTAAAAAGGCTTTTGTATGCCGACAGTCACAAGAACGTTTATCCAATTTAACTTAGTCGATTTTTGATTTTTTTTCAGTGGAAGTTTTTTTCAATCAATGATGTTTCAATCAAGGTCAAAATTATTTCAAACAATTTCATGAAACATAGAAACAAAACCATGAAATAAAAATTGCAAACTTTTATTTTAAACAACCGTATTGTTTGCAACTGCTGATTGCAATAAAAGTTTGCAACTTTTTGTTTGAAACTCCGGTGTAAACATGGCTTTAATATTGATAAACTAGCTGTAACCCGCGGGCTTTGCCCCGTTTAACTTCTTAATTTTCAAGATGATCTCGTTCGCATGGCTCAATCACGTCCTGGTTGAAGTTCGTTCGCTACGCTCACTCAACTTTAGCTTGGAGGTCGTTCGCTGCGCTCACTTGCCTTCAGGTTAGCTCGTTCGCTACGCTCACTTGCCTTCAGGTTAGCTCGTTCACTACGCTAACTCGCCTCCAGGTTGAAGTTCGTTCGCTATGCTCACTCACATTTTGGTTGCAAATTAGCTGTTGTCATAAATGTAAAAGAAATAATAGTGCTGCACCCTGTTGGTAATCCTTGAAACTTTAATGCTATTGAACATCATAGAACAGAACCAACTTGTTTAATTGAAACAGCTGTTAAGATTCATTAATTCCATTTCTCATAAAGGTTAACATGGGAAACTCCAGAGCCACTGGGGCGGAGCCCGAGAGTCCGATCAGAATAAAAACAACTTAGTTTTCCGATTTAATGCCTAAAGAATCGGTGTACCAAATTGCAGCCTCCTAGGTAAATGGGAAGTGGGAGAATTAGTGATGAGTGAGTGAGTGAGTGTGTCAGTGAGGGCTTTGCCTTTTATATATTTAGATATATATATATATATATATATACACATCCTCTTTTATATATTGATAAATATTTATATTGTGGCTTTTGCCTAGCCAAACATAACTTACCATTGAATACTAAGTGGTGCAGCTAAAATGTTTCTTACATTCTTGGCTTTAGGTTTCTTCTGAGACATAGTTAGTAATTTTTCATTCCATTAATGACTTAAAAATACAAATTCATCTTAGCCTACCATATAAAAACATAAATAACTTAGGCCAGGCCTATAAAGTTAAACTTGTTTACAGTGTTTTTGAGCCATCACTATTTAGGTTAGGTTATATGTTTTGAGAGCACAGCAAACAGCGCAGACAGCTAGCTGTTAGCTGCATGGCTGCTGCATGTGGATGTGATCATAGTCTGGGTATTTTTACCCATGAGACCTCAATGTTCACTGAGTCAGTAGTAAACAAACAGAAGGATTGTGTTGTTTTGCTATAATTGCATTATGGTTGAAAGCAGGGTGGAAACGGCAATATTGAGGTTCACTCATGAACTTCGTCGACCCATGCAACCGTGCTTCATCACGGGATCACAGCCCTATTCACGGCCACCTTTAACTACCACGACCATCTAGCCATAGCTCCACTATAACTCCAGGCAAGGCACGTCCACGATGCAAGTATGGTTGTTTAGTGTCAGACGTCCCATAAGATAACATTGCAGACAGGTGACATCAGGTAATTATTTCGCAATTTATGGATTTAAATTTAAATCTATGGACATAAATTTATTAAAATATTGAAAATAAAACATATACAGAATTAAAAACCAAAACAATATGAATTGAAAATTTAATTCCGTGCATTTAAAGCAGGCAGGAGTCAATATTTTCAAACTTTTGATAAATTTATGTTCATAAATTAATATTTATGAACATCAATTTATTAAAAGATTGAAAATAAAACATATAGAACTGAGAACCAAAACAATATTTTAATTGAAAATCTATTTTTGTAGATTTAAAGTGGAGTCAATATCTTCATAGTCCAGTATAAGATTTCGTATTCTTAAAATGTATCCAGCAAATCCCATTAGTTGTATTCAAACAAAACAGCTGTTATAACCCTACCACTGAGCTATAATTCTCCCTACTTGCGATGTTGGCAATTCGAAGGCCGTGGCCTGGAGTTACAGGTCGTTGTGGCTATATGTCGTTATCATTTGAAAATATCTTATTTCCAAGTATTTTAAATTCCAGAAATACCTTGTATTATGCTCCTATATTCCACTCATTTCAACATTGATGTTTATGGCTTGTTAGTACCGTAGATAAAACATACTCTGTTTCTGGTTATTTAAAACCCCGTTTAACCAAAATAAAACGGAATTCTGTCCGGTGCACTGTAGAGATCGTGTTTTGTTTACAATTTGTTTCTTACGACGGCGCTGAAGGGCCATCAACTGTTAAAAAAATGTTGTCTTAATCTCTGAGTTAAAACTTAGAATTCTCAGTTTAAAGTCAGAATATAACAAGTGGGTGTTCCACTCTGAGATTAAAGTCAGAGAATTCAACTAGTGGGCGTCCCCCTTTGATATTAAAGTCAGAATTTAACAAGTGGGCGTTCCTCTCTGAGAAAAAAGTCAGAATATAACTAGTGGGCGCTCAACTCTTAAGTCAGAATTGAACTGTGGGCGTTCCTCTCTTATTGCAACGATATTATCAGCATATTGATGCTATCATCCCTTCTATCTTAGACAAAAGAAATAATATAAATTTCATTTCTGTTGTCTATTCTACTGTGTTCTTCTACTTGTAACGTTGCCAATTCTACCAGGCCGCGGCCTGGAGTTAAAGGTGGCCGTGAGAAGAGTATTTACTGACAGTGTATTACGGCCTATTCCATAGTCATCTGAACTATAGTTGCAGTTGTGGGGTCATACACCTGGTTCTAGGAGATCCTTCAGACTCCAGAAAAAGGCACTCAGAATTGTAACGTCTAGCAAAGCTGACGCCCACTGTAGACCTCTTTTCATGCGTCTGGGAGTTATGACATTGTTCAGCCAGTAAGTCTTAAACAGTGTTGTATACATAAAGAAAAACTTAGATGATTTTAGCTTCAGGGGTAACCTCTTCATAGCTGCAATACTCGTAACCGGAGCCAACTTGATCTTCCATCCCATCGGCTCAGTAGGACTGCAAATAGTTTCCCCACTCTGGCCATAAAGCTGTACAATAGTGTCAGTGTTGAAATCAGAAGCCTACCAGTTAAAGTGTTCGTAGCGCACATGTCAAAGGAAGTTGAAGACTAGGCCCCTTAACTCCATCAGGGAATTTTTGAAACCCCTGACTATGACTCAGTTTGGACATCATGATCCACCGCCTTGTATATAGTGTATATAGTCAAAGTTTTAATTTTTTATAACGCAATCCATCCAACTGTGGCTATGGGCAACGATGAAGAACCGGTAAAGGTAAAATTTACAATGGGATGGGGGCAGCCTACTTGTGTTGTTGGTTGGTCGGTTAGTCTATGGTGTAGTACGTTGTCGTGGGGTCACATATAGCTCATATTAATTTTTCAATTATATACGAATCCAATTAAGTTGTAATAACTTACTAATTTAGAACACTTTCAAGTGACAATTTATTTATTTATTCCAACGGTTTCTTCATTAAATACAATGTTGCCTAAAACTAGATGATTTACAAGATGGCAGTTCTGAAGATGAAAGTTCAAGATAAAAGTTCTAAACACGTAATTAATCGTGCTAATTCAAACTATGAACTATAAGTACGGTAGTAATATCAGTAGTAAGAAAAATCGTGCAATAATAACAAATATGAAAGCTGTCAATAAATATAGAACTACAATAAATAACAACAAAGTAAACTATGCATCGTAATTATATAATGGTAACAAGTAACAAGCAGTAATTTAATGATGGTATAACTTTACAACAAGCAATAACAACAACAATAAAATAATACCTACAAAAATAGACTGGTAACAAAGATAACAAATTATAAACTGTGAAAATAATATGAGACACCAAAAGATTAAAAAAGTATTAACACAAGTATAATCAGCAATTCGTTGGAGTGAGTGTGTGCATGCATTCGACATGGAAAGGACTCTGTGTCAACCACACAATAAACCATGCTTTCCGGATATTCTTTCCGGAACACTTCAAACCTTGCCATTCCCCGTCATTCAACTGCATTTTACCATAAGCATTTTCACTACAATGCTGTGAAACTCTTCAATAAACTTCCTTTCCCATTACAGACTGAACAGGATGTGGGTAAATTTAGAAGGTAGTTAAAGTCCATACTGATAGATAAGGCAATAGCGTCCGTGAAAGCTGGTATACACTTGAAAGACTAGTTTGTTGAATTAACTTGTAGTTAATGCTTGTAAATACTTATAGTTGTTTTCACTGTGTAAGATAAACAAGATGTTTTCAAGTAAGTATTAAAAGGGAGTATGTTTAATCTATGCTATAAATTTGACTTGGCTAATGCATGTATTGATCTGGCCTAATAAATTACTTATTGACTTAATACTGCCAATACTGGACGATTTGCAAATTGTTTTGAGTTTCAGCGTTTACAGCTATTTCCATGGATTGCACAACCCATTCGAAACCCAGCAATTCGAAATGGAAATTAATATGTTTTCTCCCGGAACGAAACCTGAACTCTTGTAGCGGAGATGTAGTTGGAAGGCACTGCATGGTGAACACAAGCAGAGCTGCGTTTATTTAAGGGCAAAGGTAGATTTTCCTAGAAGCCAAATTTGACAATGAAACTTCAATGCCTAAAAAGACTTGTACAACATTCAAAGTCCCGAGCCGTATTCGGAAACTAAATCCGACAGTGACAGTTAGGAAAGCCGGCTTCTTTGGTTTAGAGAAGAGGAGTGTTAAGATATCTTTATTTTTTAATACTGTAAATATCAATTTTTACATAAATGAAGTAGTTTTTAATAAAGAGCCTGATATTAATGATCGATACGCGGGTTCTTTTCTAATATTCATGACTAAAAGCAAGCATTTGATGAAACCATAGAACGAGAGATTGTTTATCAGTGATAAGTGATAAAACATTATTTTCTTAATTTCTCCTGCATGTCTGTTCAGGTTAATGTCACCCATGTGGCGTGAGAGGGAAAGGAAAGGAACAGCAGAAGCAGAGTCGTCATTATTTTTAGACAGGGCCGGGATTTCATTATTTTTGTCTATAATAGCAGCTAGTATCCCCGGCCCTGATTTTTAGACACTGAACTGACTGACACTGACAGAGACCAGAGACAGAAGGAGAGAAGACAGCAGAAGTTTCTGTCGTCTCCCCCGTCACCGCCGCGCCGCGTCGCAGTCGTCGTTCTCGTTCGTCGCCCTGTTTCATTTTCGTTTCGTTTCTTTCGTTCGATTCGAGTTCGCCAGCGCCAGGTTCGCGTTCGCCTTTCCCTTTCCCTTTGCATTGCTCGCGTCGGTAGTCGGACCGTACTTTCAGTCATTTCTCATTTGAGTCACAAAACAAATTAATTGTTTACTATAATAGAAAAGGTTCATTTTATTTTGTGGTTGGTTAAACAACGGAAATTTAAGTACTTCCTTGGAAGCCATCAAACACGTGAGTCTTAACACTATTCTATTTGTTTAATTTTGTTGACGTTCTTGACGTCTGGTAGCCTAGATACACGTAGGTAACTCAGACCTAAGGTGGTTTGGACCACATTTCATCAATCAGTGTGATTCATATCATATTCAAGAAATTAATTGCTGGGAAATGAATGCCATCGTTTCTGTAACTGTACTCATTTACCTTAAACCTGCAGGCCGAGGCTTATGTCATTGCTCCACGTCTAAGTTACAGTAGTTAAAACCTAAGTCTCTCGTACATGGAGAAAGTCTTAGTCTGGGTGAAAGCAAGATTATTCACGAATCACATTAGCTTATAGGAATCTAACATGTAATTTCCATTTCCAGTAGGCCTACCTACAAAACCTAAGTAACTTACAAGAGGTGTGCTTCTAGGCTAGGCCTAACTTAATCATGGTTCGAAGAATTAGGCCCTATTACCAAAAATAAACCTAAGGTAGTCAGTACTGTACTTGACCTAAGGTAGGCTAGGTGTAAGGGATAAAAGGCTCTTGAAACAGACACACCCAGCCTTAAAATTAGTCACGTTATTGTACTGTGGTTGGCTTTTAAATGTCCTGACCCAACTTCACTCCAGAAAAACCTGTGATAACTTAGACAGGTGTTTCCGTTCCAACTTCAACGTGTCCTTAAGTTCCTCTGTCTGAAAAGTTTGTCTTGAACACATTGTAGAGGTACAGTTCCGCAGAGAACCTGTTAACTTAACTTAATGTATATATTACATAATTAAGTGTAACTTAAGTACCAGATTAACTTAGTGTGTTTACTTAAATGTGCTAACGTTTAATATTACTTAATTTTGATTATAATTCGGTTCAATATAACTGAACTTAGATATCGCATTGAATTTAATTTTAAGTTAAGTTTAGGCCATGACAAAAATAAGTTAATACCCCTGCCTTAGCAAACTGGCAGACATAGCGAATTTCCATTTGCCTGATTGGATTTACACTAAAATGTCACATCACATTTATTCCCTATTTAAATAGAATTAGTTTAAGGAGTACTTAGGTTTGCTGCAACAGTTTATTTTGTTGGGAAATGTTTTATTACTGTAGCCTAACTTAGTTTAGTAAGAAATTAATGTAAACTTATTTTCAAAATTTTATCAAAATATGTTCATAAACAGGCAAACTACAACAGTTGACTTTTTCTCCATATAAATAACATGGGGATTTTAATTTTAAAATTATTTTGGAATTTCTCCATAGGCCTAACCATTAGGCGCATAACAACGTTTCATTATACTAAATTACTTATTTTTCAATTCAATGAAACGCATTGAGTACCGTACATTTGTTTACTAGGCCTATTTGAGTTTGTGTAAACATAACCCCCAAGACGGATCGTGTTAGTATGGTTTTATCTTAAATTTGTGTATTTATGGTTGTTTTGTGTCGCTATGACGGATCGTGTTAGCATGATTCTAACTTAAATTTGTGCAGATAAATATGGTCTGAGTTACACACCGGTAATCTTTGAGTTGACTCTTTAAACTCATTGTAAATATGACTGTTATTTGTTTTGAAATAACTCCTGTACCCTAATACATTGCAATTGCTCGAATTCGAGCAACATGTCACATGTTAGTTGCAAATTAATGCAATAGCAATAGTGATATTTTCTAAGTTTTTTGTTACCGATATGGTGTTTGATTAGTTTCTAAGTTATGTAAGTTACAGACTGACACAAATCACAGACGTTTTCAATCTTATTTATGACAATACATAACTTAACTTAAGTTATACGATGCATTAACCTAGACCTAGAAGTTGAACCACATCATCCAAAAGTGAAAGCTCTTCTCCGACTCCAAAGGGTTTAGTATAGTCCAATTGATAATCAACTTAATGAATTGTACAAATGAGGGTAACTTAATGATGAAAAACAGTAGGCTGTTTTAAACTTGTACTGTAGGAGGGGCACAGGCCTACTCAGGGTCACCGGCACATCAACCAACTGTTGACAATAGCCAAACCAACTGTCTCGAAATAGCCTAAAAACACGGGTTTACAGCTCTTATTTTCAAAAATGTTTTGTGAGGGGGCTGGAACTTCCCCCAGACCCCAGGTGTAACCCCCCCCCCTCCCTGGGAGTCATCCTAGTTATGTTTCCTTGTGTTTAGTACTTTAAGCTATATTATTTATTTGTATAATTATGTAAATTATTTTTCTTAGTAGAACCTACCAATTTTTTGAAGACACACTGTGTTTTTCATTATAAAGTTGACCATGCTCCATTACCGTAGTTGTTTTGTGAGTGTATATGAGAAAATAACTTTAAGCTCTAGATATTAAAGAAACATTATCTATTCAGTAAAAATTATGTTAGTAGTAAAACCAATGGTAGGGGATTAGCCCACACATAGACTGACATGTAATGCATATCAATCATAATGTAGCGCAATATATATTTTAAATTTCTTAGCACTGGATTTTATTTTAACTTATATGAACTATTTAGCAATATTTTCTTAATGTACAAAATAAACCCTGATGCCCAACAACATCAGGGTTAATTTTCTTCCAAATGGAGAACAGATTTACCGTTGCAATACTTGTAATTAGGGTGTAAAATGTATAGGCCTAGCTAGAATGCAAAACATAATTATTAGGCTATTAAAATGACAAGAGTGTGGTGAGAGAGGCATCAAGTGAATTAATTATAATTAGACAGTAATAAAGACACATTGGAAAATATTTTAAATCAAGTAGGATTGTGAATAGCATTAAAAAAGACTCTCTTCTTCATGTGGATGATTAGAAACTCAACACAATGTCACAGTGATAATTTTGGCTAATAAATGTATACATCAAAGTATTTTTGTTCCAGATACGGTACAGAAAAATAAGTAAAGATTAGAAAAAAGAAGAACAATATGTTGTATTTAGAAGACTATCTGGAAATGATCGAACACCTGCCGCAAGAACTGCGGGATAGGTTTACGAGTATGCGAGAAATGGATTTAGAAGTGCAGAATACATTAGAGAGTGTTGAGAAAAGAATAAGTGTATTTTTCTCAAAAGCGGAAGACATGAATCCACAAGGGAGACAAACCGAGTACGACGAAATAAAAAAAGATTACAGCAAAGCTATAGAAGATGCAGATGAAAAGGTTCAACTGGCAAATCACATGCACGAACTCGTTTCAATGTACTTGAGAAGGCTAGAACAGGAGTGTCACAAATTCAAAATGGAATTGGAAGCTGACCATGCCGGTATTACTGAAATTTTGGAAAAACGTTCAGAAGAAATGGATGTATCGACAAACAATTGTAGTCAGAAAGAAAATCGCTATTCAGTTGTAATGAATCGACCTAGCGGATCTAGCATGAGTGAAAAAAAGAGAGAATCGACTGTTCCAGAATACAAAAGATTATTGACAGTTGAAAAAATCCTGCCCGACATTCGACCCGTTAGTTCCATCCCTCAGCCTACTGTGTCTACTTCTGTGGCGACGCCTACTATCAACTACAGTCTTGGACATATGGGAGTCGGAGGAACTGCCATCGCTGCGGCTGCAACACAAGCCATCGCAGCCACGCAGCAGATGCAGCAGGGCAGGCGGACTGCCAGCCTCAAGGCATCCTACGAAGCCATCAACTCTGTAGTCAGTGGCCTGTCCATGAGTCACAGTAGTGAACTGGGTATCAGTAAAGAACTAGCAGGGGCCGCACAGACAGCTATTGCCGCTATTCAGGACACTAGTAAGAAAAACAAGAAGAAATCCACCACTAGTACTAGTGTGCAGCCTTCTCTGCCGGCCAATTTGCAAATGTCATCACAGAGCTCGACAGAATCGTCGTCCTCAAGTCGCAACGATGTTTCATACGATGCTAACGAACCTCGTTACTGCATTTGTAATGAAGTCGCATATGGTGGGATGGTCGCTTGTGACAACAAAAACTGTCCGTACGAATGGTTCCACTACCCTTGTGTTGGAATCACGGATCCCCCGAAAGGAAGTTGGTATTGCCCTCAGTGTTTGGCTGCAAAGAAACGTCGCGGCTCTAGAAAGAAGAAGAGCCACACCGGAACAGAAGAGAGAAATCCTCAAAGCAGCCTGAGACAAGTTTTGCAATCTTGATACTTTGGGAATGAATACAAGAAAGTTTGAACTTTCAAACAAGAAGTCTTCTTTTTAAGGCTATTTCATCTACACTTTTTCAATATTTATGATATTTTGAGTTTTTTACAGAGTTTTTAGTTTTGATCCTAAAGTGGACCAGTTTGACAAAGTGTTTTATTATTATATTTTTTACACATCCAAACATCTCTCATTAATTTATTTCTGATGAATCTCAAGAGTGAATCTGTTGTTTTCAATGTTGTGAAGGCTACTTATCTTGTCTACTCTCTTAAGTGCTAATGTAACTTGTACCCCACAAACCTGTTAAGTTGTGTTTACATCTCTACAAACACCTACAAAATAAGAGGAATAATTGATTCTATTATGGGTAGAGATACTCAGTTTGTTACTTTTACGACCCCATTCATATATTATATTACACAGTAGAACCACCATTTATGTTAAATCAGTGTCAGAGAACAAACATTTGTTTAAAGAAATCCAAGCAATAAAATACCCATGCAGCTGCAAACCTGCTGACTAAGTGAATTTCCATAGGTCTGAATTGATTTTCAATTAAATTTATTTAAATATTATTAGGTTTTACGAGTACCTAGGTTTGCTGCTACAAGGAAACTAATAAAGTGTATTTTTTTGTAAAATATTAATAGCTTAGTAAAAAAATAAATAAATTTGCAAAGTTTAATCAAAATATATCCATAAACAAGCGGCAAACTAGGTTTACAATATTTTTTGTAAGAATCACATGGGAATTTTAAATTTAAAATAGTTTAATCACCTAATCAGACAATAACCTGATTGTTACTACCATAAGTATGTATATATATTGGTTTTGATTTAATTGTTACTGTTTTTTATAATTTTTTCTAAATAGTGAAACGGCGTTTGCAATCTGAGTGACTTCAGCATATGACGGGAATATCACAGTCTTATGTATTTTCCTTCCACAATGGTGTTAGCTGATATGTTAACAAAACTATTAAATCATTCAAATCATCAGTTAATTCTATTGAAAATAGAAGTTTTATATTGGAAACTTACCAGCTTTTTATATCCAAAGAAATCAGATTTTATTGTAAAAGATTTTCTAAATAGGCCTAGTTAAGTTACGTAAGATAATTAAAAAAAAATCCTATATAGTTTTAGTTAACAAAAAATATTTGTATGTTTAATTTAGATATCATGTAGTTGAAACACATTCCTATTTATTATTTATTTTGATTGTTAGGATTCTTATTTAGTGACTTTTTTTTTCAGAACATAAACAATAGATGATTACATAACTGATAATTTCTTGGACAGTGCTCACAAGTTAGTTGGCACTAACAATACACACGCTCTCATAAATTCATAGGCGAAGCTGCGATTTTTTAGTTAAAGGTGCGTTGTCCAAGGCGCGTCTGTTGCGTCTGACGCAGAGCGATAATCGGCGAACGATGATCGCTGGGCGTCGATCGCTTAGAGGCCTGTTGTCCAAGAACGCGTCTATTCAGTTCAAAAGTTGGTTGCTGACTGTGTTAAAATTTATTTTGCTCTAGCGTTAAGAGCCAAGTGTTGAAGATCCTATTCATCGAAGAGATAGAAAACGAGGAAATTCTGGACCTTTAGTAAACCTCGATTGTGTACCCACAGTGTTTTCAAAAATAGAAGTGAGGAAGTATATTTTAAAATACTTATCAAAAACCACTTTAATACAGATAAGAGGCTGTTAAGTGATTTTTTTTTACCTTTTAAAGAAAACTGTTTAAGTTCCTTTGAATCCTTAAAAGTTAAAGTTGTAATAATTTAATTGAACATTAATTTATTATTATTTTGAAATTTTTCTTTACTTAAATACAGATATCCCCTATTCTAAATAACTCCCAATACGTAATCCATAGCTAAAATAAAAGTCAATACTTTGGTGAATTATTTTAGACTAGGTATAAAGAGTTTTGGGAGTTAATTGGGGTGACACTCCTCAGCGGACCCAACACTACAAAATAAAACCCTAAAACATTTTCTTGCAATTTTTTAAGGTCATTGACTTTACATTAAGATACTGTATATTATGGAGTATACGGGAGAACACAGAAACAACAATGCAATAGACGCAATAGACGCTGGCCGTCAGCGATCCCGTCTGCTCCTGGAGCAGTGCCCCGCGTCAGACGCTAGAGACGCTCCCTTGGACAACGGGCCCATTGAAATCAATGCTTAGCAGTCCCTGAGCGTCCATCGCCAGCGTCTATTACTCAGCGTCAGACGCAACAGACGCGTTCTTGGACAATGGGCCTTAAGTTACTACGGTATTTCCTCTTAGGTAGTAGGACCTACATTTAGTAACAAAGTTGAGTCCTCTTGATGTACAGAGTTGTATTAACATATTAGACAGTTTAAAATGGAAACTGATTAATGTACCCAGTATTATTTTAATTAAGAGGAACTTCAGTCTATAGTTCGGCAGCTTAGAAAGCGACCTCCTCCATCATTGGTTTAGCATTAGCGCGCAGGTCGTTTTCTAAGCGGCCGAACTATAGTTAATTGTTGTATGTGTACAATTGTGTGCTTTTTGTGATATCGATTAAGTGTGTTTATTTAAGAATATTTAAATATTTTATAATTATCAAAATGTATTTAACTCTTTATAACACATTTTCAGTGTCGTTATAGTTTTTTTTTTGTAATTGATGTTTTTCTTAAATGGTGTTTTAAAAATTCTATTAGTACATTTTTTATGCCCAGTCTGGATGTTCAAAGATTATTTTAACTTTTAACGTTTTTTATACTGTGACCAAGAAGTTATTTATTGCTTTGAATATGTGTATCCAAACAAACACTACATAGCGAAGAATATTGTTTTTACTCTCTATTAAGGTTTTATAGTACCTAATCAAATTTATTTTTTAATTCAGGTTTCTTTAAATCAAGTAATACTGTTTGTTGAAACTTTTTATATTGGAAATCTAGATGTGTATTCTTTAAATATCAACAAGCTATATAAGTGTCATTCAATGCTAGAAAACACTTGTATTTTTACTGTTCTGTGTTTACAATAATTGTAGAGCCAAATGATCAATAAATGTGAGAAGTAAACAATCTCAGAATAGTTCATTTTTACCTTGTTTAATTTTATTTTGTGTAGGTTTGTTTTTAAAAGAAAGTTATATTTTTACATTCAAGTTACCAAAATGTGAATTGGAAAGGAGATACTAAGGCTATATTATAACTTATTGAAAACTCTGAAAGTAAACTTGTGTTATTTTGCTGGAAATTGTACGCCAAAGTGCCTCTAATATTTAAAAAAGTACCTTTTTAATGTCACATTAAAAATTTATCTTAACTTTTTTCATTTGGAATAGGTGTTGTAGGAATTCTAAGTATAGTTAAAGCATTTACCCCCAGAAACATCTCAAGATTTACAATTTATGTCATTAAATAATATGACCAAAGCGTAGTAAGTCATGGACTATTTAGAAATGATTTTGAATTGAATTCTTTAAGATTATCAGATTACGTATTGTTGTCCTAGTTAACTTAAGCAGGCTACCATCCAGTTATGATAGAGAATAAATTCTAAAATGGTGGGCAAAAAACATTCCATGTCTTTGTTTTACACTTTCCATAATATTTAACAAACCGTGGGTAGAAAAACTTCTTAAATGAAACATTTGACATTGAAACAACTGTAAGTTTGGGGTTTCCAAAACTAAGAAATAAGTATTTTGACTTTATAATATTATAAGAAATCATTACCCACCACCTTTGTTATTTACGTTGTAAGATATAATGTTATTTGTGATGATGTATTCAAAATGAAAAAGTAGTTTTAATTGCAGACAAACTTAACGGCTATAAAAAGGATTGACGATAAAGAAACATAAGCCTAAATCATTTTATGATTTTTAATGTGTTTGGTGCTTTTTATTATTTTCTATGTTCTACAACCTTTTTGGCTATCTGATCTCGCTGATGCTAGTTTTTGCCGGATAACCAAGACTAAACTGTACTAGTAGAATCCCTGATGTCATCTGTCTGTCGGGTGTGGGAACCCTCAGTCCCCATCTCATCCAGTTTCATCCGGTCGGATAATCAAAACGAGCTAATCAATGGCCAGGAAATATTCTCATTTAAATTCTGCAAAATAGGATTTATTATTTGCAGTCGGATACAAGCATGAAATATTTTGAACTTATAATAAAAAATCTTGTGAACAGCAGTAAAAGGCGAGCACGTTTTAAAGTAAAGGTCATAGTAAACTTAACAATTCTAAATACATTAATATGCAACGTTAATTAGTGCAACAAAATAATGCTTGTCTCTAACGCAGATTATCAAATAAGACTACTTGTTAAGTAGACTTCTGATTGAGGTTTGCAACGCTTGATTGGGGATAGTACAAATTCAAGAACATATAAAAAAAAATTTGTTATCAAGAGTGACTTGCTATTAAGGGTCTTGTTATTGAGGTTCCACTGAACTTATATTAATTATGCAGGGCTGATTATGAAAGAGTGCCCAAATCTTCTTATCACCAATATATTTTAAATTTTTGACCAATAATTATTTCTTTAAATGTCTATTGCAGTTTCATAACTATGGCGAGAGGTCAACAGAAGGTGCAGTCGCAGCAGAAAGCGGCAGAAAAACAAGCAAAAATGAAGAAACAGCAGGGTCATAATGTCAATGAACAGAAGAAGGCGGCACAGAAGGCTTTAGTCTTTGCTTGCAAAGTCTGTAAAGTAAGTAATCATTATGTTCGATTACAGAAAAACTAAATTAAATTTTTTGTTGTCAGTTACTTCTAATGATTTCAAAATCAATCTTATAATTAATACGCAAACACGAAGTTTGTCGGTTGAACTCCTCCGCCATTTCTTAACCGATTTTTTCCATTGACGTCTCATTGGAAAGAGCGTGTCGCGTAGATTTGCAAACTGGCCTTGATTATTTCAAAAAGTCCCTTGGGCTCTGCCCCAGTGGCTTTTGAAGTTCCCATGTTATCCTTATGAAGAACATAATTGTTAAAATTTTGATCAGGCTGTATAATTTAATTGCTGTTATTTATTTTTCAATTCAACAAAACACAACAATTTACTGATTTTGTTGAAATTAAATATTTACTATTTTAATTTACATGCGTACATACTGTATTACAATGTAAAAAATCGAGAAAGCCTGGGCAATTTGATATATTTGACCAAATAAGGAAAATGAATTGACAGGGTACTGTAATTCTTGAGCAATCATTGAAAGGATTTGTTAACCATGGAAACATAGGACGCCAACAAGTAAAAGAAATATAGATAAAAAAAACTACTATCGTTATCATCCTTTATAATGAAGAACACCTACAGCTACAATATGAAGATTCCCACAAACAATGAACAAGGATGTTAGCCGAAGTGCTACTATTTTGTAGGAAACATGCACTTAACTTTATGATGATTGGCAAAGGAAAAGGAAAGGGTGAATTAAACTGGTACGGCAAGGACATTAATAATTAAATATACGTTTTCATGAAAGTTAAGTGATTTTAAAAGAATGTGACTAAAATGAAACTTTCATTGAAGGATTCACATTATTCACATATTTAAAGGAAACAAAAAAAAAACATCTGAACGACATTAGGCCTTTCAATTCTAAATTTTCTAGGTAAATATAATTTACGATATAACAGTAACCAGCCAAATGATGCCAATTGATGCAAATAAAACTGCGACAGAGAGGTAATGCAGAAAATCAGTTAGTTCTTAGTCAAGTAAACAAAACGTTATCGCTATAAAAAATTGACTGAAATTTGTAAACGTACTGGCGACAATGGGTGGTACCATGCAGACTACATTATCATTGACGAAGATCAACACGGACAACCTAATAGGGCTATAACTGGGAAACATTTAAAAAACCAGATCAGCTTTTGAAAAAAGATAAAATATTTGCAAGAAATGCTGATTATATGGAACTGTTAGGTACATAATCTATGAATTGAGTCTTTTAAACTCATCGGAAATTATGATGACTTTTATTCGTTTTTAAATAACTACTTTACTTCTTTACAATTGCTCGATTTCGAGCAACGTGTACACTAGTATATTTTATTCTGTGATTTAAAAAGTAGTCTGTGATTTAGTGGTAGGATGTTTGCAGATTGATTTTTAACAATTCAAAACGTCAAGATTTTACCTTTTCTTTTATACTACAGCAACACACCACTATATTTTTGCAGGTAGTTGAGATATTATAATTATCTACAAATCTTGTTTAGGATTAGGTTGTTTTAGGTTGGGTTAGGTTAGAACCGAGTCTTAACTCTAAAACGTTAATCGTTGTGTAATGTTACAAAAAATTTATATATAATAATTTAAATTTTGGAAGCATGTCGGACGTAGCCCTTTGGAAATCTGCCTGTGGGGTAGAGCCCTTAAGAAATTTGTACTTAAGTAAATGTAAGAAATGGCCTTAACCATTTACATAAAATTTGATTGTATCACTTTAATAATACAATAGTAATATAATGTAAAATTCCACTTTCCCCAGTCTGTAGCTCAGTTCTTGTTTTCTTGTCAGGCCCAGATGCCCGACCCCAAGACCTACAGGCAGCACTTTGAGAACAAACACCCCAAGAATGACCTTCCTGAGGAGCTGAAGGACGTGCAGGCGTGACTCACATTTCCATCACGTCTACAAGCTTCCAGTTGCGCCAACATAAAGAATTTCAGTTTTTCTTGATCGTCACATGTGACTGACAAACATTGAAAATTATTGTTTATTTGGTGATAAAGTGTAAATGTTTTTGGAAATTGAAACAATTATTCGGCACTTGTTTTTTTAACAGAGTATAAATTTGAAATGCCAAATTGCAATTTGATTTTAGAATAATCCTATGTTCCTAAAGAGTTTTCATGCATTTGTCATGTATAGTTGTACATTACAGCATTTTTGTATAATAAGTTGAGAAGCATTGCCGGTAGAATGTTAAATCTCAGCTTTGGAAATCCGATCTGCACAAATGTTTTGCGGTTCTTTTTGCCGATTTGCATGTGAGATTGTTTTTGTATAAAATATTAGTATTAAGTGTAGCAGCAGATTTTATTTGTGGTATATTCCAGTGTCCAGGGTTAGAATCCTTAAGTTTTTATTTTAATGTATTTGGTGATTGATTGCCTAGCTGCTTGTTAAACAGGTTTTGATAGTAAATCTTAAAACTTATTAATTTTTTGTGTTCTATTAATTGTTCCTAAGTCCGTACAAAAATTCTTTTAGTTATTAACTAGAAGTAAACTTTTAGTTTCTGATTTAACTAGAAGTAAACTAGTCTGATTTCTAAATTCTTAAACTCAAACTTTGCCTTGCTCAATCTGGAAAGATAGTCAGTGAAACCACCAAATGTTTGGAATTTTTCAATAAATACACATTTTATATACTTTTAACATTTAAAGAATCTTCAAGTTGTATGGATTGGTTTTGTTGTAAAAGAAAACCTTGTTTAAAAAGAAAATGGTAAACTCTTATTTAATTGGCACTTCCCTTGCTTTTGGACAATCGTCCATTTACCCAGTAAAATTTAAGTTTGGGTTCTAATCAAAACCTACCAACAGTCTCGACCAATACAAATTTTCATTATTTTGTCAAGACTTGTGCTTGAGATCTCCATATCAAGCCAACACAAGTCGTCCACAGATTGTTCATAGTAATTGTCCAGAATTTGTACTTATTATGTCATTTATTAATTGTTTTTAGTACTAATGCTAATTTAACATATAAGTTTTTGTAATAAATTTGGTAATCATCTGAAGTTTTTGATGATTTAAGTTATCTTGTAATTAATCAAAAACGATCTAATTTGTTTACACATACAGAGTCAATTAAATATCCGTGGCATCTTAGACTTGCTTACAAACTAAGAAAATTCATTGGCATTTTTTAGGTTATATCACATTGAATTTTAAGGCTGTGATAACAAGAAAGGGAAATAATTTAACCAGCAATTATAAAATAAAATTACTCATTTTATTTCTAGAAATGGCTTGTACATATACAGCTTACTTCTATATAGCTACCACAATCAACTCATTAGAAGATTTGTACATAAAAAGTTATCACATTTTACAAAAGTCAATCTTAAAATAAATTCAAAACTGTTAAACTTTCCTGATAAAATTTTACGAATAGAAATTTGCTCGATCGACATCACAGCTATTCTGGTAGTTTACACGCTATGTCTAAATAAAGCTAAGAATGTTGAGTGGTTGCTAAGTTAAAAAAGATTTACAAAATAAATATAAAATTATCGTACATCGATCACATAAATTAAAATCCTGGCCCGAAGCCTAGCAGCGCATATATACAATTCTCAACACCGGTACTCGTACGGCAAGATGCAGTTCTCTTATTGGCCAATGAAATAGACAATTACAAAGGCACTTTGTGACACTCGTCACGATTCTGTCAGTCAGTAAGAAAGTTTTGAACGATCATGTAACCAGTCCTTCCATTTTTTGGACGATTCCTCGGTTTACTCAAAAGATGAAGAAGTGGTCACATAGCGGTTTGAGCGGTTTTAGAATTATTCCGTGATGATCTCATTGTCTACTCTGCTGTTGCGTACTCCAGTCTTGCCAGTCCACGGGTAGATGTCCGGGCACGGCTGACACGTCCTCATGTACCTCACGCCTGACTTGTGCCACAGGTTACACACCTTGGGGTTCATACACTTCCTCGGCCTCTCCTGAAACACGTGGTAAGGATAAGAATTGTTAATTGTCATTAAATATTGTAGTCACAGTCAAATTTGATTTTAGGAGGTCACTTAAGACATTTTAATATCTTCCAAGACAAAAACACTTCTATAAAAGGCAATCAGTGGTGTAGTGGGACGGGAATGGCATTTCTATTCTGCTTTTTCATAAGAACCTATTGGTAAGTGACCCGTATTCTTACGCAACCTTGGCGGAACACTGGAAAATGTACTACAGTACTACACCACTGAATGCAATCGATTCGACAAAACAATCTTAAAAACAATTTCAATAATTGCAAATTTTTACAGAGAACAGTAGTTAAGTAAATGTCAAATGAACTGGCTGACTACCTGTACTTGAATTTTAATCACTTTACATTTTAACTTTTTGTCTTTTGGTTTTTCAACTGTTTCAATAGATCGTCTTAAGCCAATCTATTCTTTAAAACCCGATCATAATGATTCCAAAATTTCCAGAGCCGCCAACATTACTTACTCTCCTGTCCTGCTGACATTCAACAACAAAATGACTAAACCCTGTTCTGAGAACTACACACTGGACGTCAAGTGATTTTCCAGTGCAATTCCAGAATATATTTTTTGTGACTTTTACCACTTACACAAGGTGCAGGAGGCGGTGATAAAGTGGTAGCTGACTGCCTGTTCTTTTACTTTTTGATTTTAGCGAATTTCCCATATAGGGAATAAGCTATTACCGTAGTACTCGTGGTAAGACCTGGACGCGGGACCGATTTTTTTTTTTGTTTTGAGGTCCCTAGAGGCCAAAAACACCATCCGTTCAAATTCATATATATATATGTAAACCTACATTTATTCAAACGAGTTCGCGATCCAGCATAATCGGACTATGAAAACAGGGGTTTATGGGGGGTTTTATGGGGTAAAAATGGGTTTTTCCCATTTTTGACACTAAAAACAAACAATTTTCAATTTCTTTCTAAACCGTTTTGTAGAGCTTAAAAAAGAAATAATTTAGTATATTGAAGCGCTGTTGTATGCCTAACTGTCACGTAGAAAATTCAAAAATAGTGTAATTTAAAATTCCCATGTTATTCTTATATGGAGAAAATGAAAATTGTTGTACTTTACTTGTTTATGGATATATATTGATAAAATTATGCAAATTTATTTATTTCATCCTATACTATTGACGTATGGTCAAAAAACACTTTTTACCTTCCCCGTAGCAGCAAACCTAAGCACTCATTAAATCTAATGTTATTTAAATAAGGAATAAATAACCTATGTCTTATTTATGGAAATATTTTAGTAGAAATATAATCAGACAAGTTGAAATTCCCTTAGTCTGCAGGTTTGCTGCGGCGGGGGTATTTGAATGTTTCAATTGTTTTACAAAAATTGCAATTCACACAATTAGTTCACTAGTCCAATTTGAGAGTTTTTTCACTTGTCATTGAACCAAACTGATAGAACATAGGTCCGGTTACTTACAGGGTAGTTGCAGCCGAAGGGGGTGAAACCGTTGAGCCTGGACATAGGGGTTGGGTCTCGCACCCACTGAATGGCTTGCCAGTTGGTGACTATCCACACTTCAGGCATCTTGTTGATGGCGTCCATAAACGCTATGAAGCCTTCCTTGTGGTGAGGTTGTGTGAACCAGGCTGCATGGTAGAACAGGCCGAATGGTGATCTGAAATGTCAAAAGTAAGTACCAGGGTTACTAATACTAATGGTCATTGTGACAATGTATGTTAATCATATAACCTTTTTTATGCTCAAATGTGGACTTAACTTCAACCCTAACAGAATATGATGCCTGCAGTTAAAGATTCAATTTTGTTAAGCTCTGCTGAAGTTCAATAACTTAAACAGATGAAAATGTCGAGATATTTATAAATCTGGTATAAGGGACTTAGATAGAGGACTATAGATATTTCCCATGCGATCAAATTGGTTGCTACCTTTGGCAACATTATTTTCCAAAAAGACTCAAGGGTTAGCTCAGTGCTTGTGCTTCACACTTTTCTGTTCATGTCTATCTCAGTAGCGTTTTAATGATTGAACTTAAATTAAAACACTTTTAAGGGAAACTAGTCCAAGCTTTTTAAAATATCCACACACCAAGTTTAGGGATTCGAATCTGTAATTATTTTACCAAGGCACAAGATGATAATCATTAGGCAGGTAAGACACAAAAATAAAACTTAGAACCCTGTAAATTACTTCCCACCCATTGTTTTCCCACAACCCGGCTATTTATTAGGAGCTACTACCCTATCAATTCTTCTCAATCAAAAGCCCAAAACTTTAACTCACAGTTTAGTACACTTGTCACTTTCAGCATCAGCCATTTTTGTTTAGTTGATACTCGCACAGATAGTTGTACATGATAGTTAGGTTATGTTACTCTTTGTGTCTGATAGAGGGCCTGTCAGCCTTCAAAGATTTCATTGTTTGAATACAATTCAACTTACTGTATTTAACCTTTTCCGCTGTTATAAAAATCCTGAAAACCACTGTGTGACAATGTTCACAAATATTTTCTGTCATCAAGATTTCTGTACCTGTTGCTTGTGAAGTGTCTTTCAAAGTTCTTGATGAGCATCTTGTAAACCCCGTCAGACGTAGGTGGGTTGCTGCATGCATCACCCATCGAGCATCTGCCTCCGTTGAGATCCTGCCACATCACCATCGGTACTTCCCACACTCCTGCAAACAGATATATACGTTTGTATATAAGTAGTAAGCTGGTAATTTGTTTAACATTCTATTTCACTGATTTAAGTTTATGTTATTTGGGGGATTATTGTGAATATTTTCAATATCAATTAGTAAAAAATAATCATGATCTCTTTTTTAAAGAATTCTGTTTCCTTCCTAGGTTGAGAACGTAGGCCTACCCAAACATAATAAGATTATCTCTACACAAACCTAAAAAAGTTGGAAAATCACAAAAAAACCCATATAGAATTGTATAGGAGTCAAAACAAGAAACCTTAAACTCCAAAAGACGATATAGTTTGTACAAACAGAGGATGTGTAAGCACAACGGACATGCCTGTACAAGATTGCAGCTCAAACGAGACACCATGTTTGTTAAGTACTAATCATGGAAAAGTGTCCGACTGCAATCCCTCATAACATAAACCAATAATTTGGTTTACTGGTGTGAACAAACTATGGTTAAGTTCATGGTTTTTCATTGTTTACTTTTTCTTAATTTTTTTTACTTTTTCTTTTTTTTTGTTTACTTTTTCATAAATATTTAATTATCTTACAGCTTTATAAACCTTGTATTACCTGTTATTTTCAGCAGTAAAATTTTTTGTCTGTCTATCAAATTGAAACTCCTTCATGGATTTTCTCAACTGAATAGACAAAGATCCTACAGTATTATATGAACAGAGCAGATTTCATCTCAAAAACTATAGTAGACATGGATTGGAAGAGTACTGTAAGTTTAACATTTAGAGTTCCTACACTGCCCAATGTTGGTGAACATTTCCATGTTTTACAGTATTTCGTACAACATTTGTTTTTTACGAGTTAAATATTCCAAAAACTTTGATTTATTCATATTTTTAAGACTAAACTGGGGGAGTTATGTTTACCAGGGTATGAGCGAGTGGGGCAAGGAGGAATCATACAGTCGTGGAATATCTTGTAGTCCAAGGTGTAAGGCCAACTGGGTGGTTTGTTTTCATAGACCGGCATCGAGGAATCGTAAGTGAAGTTGGAGTCGTAGAGCATTTTAAACATCTTGTTGCCTCCAATCTGTAATAAAAAATAATTAAGTAATCAGTCCCAACTGGTTGATGATATCAGGAAGACTGTATGGAATCCAATATTGCTTAACCTCCAGTACAAAAGTTTTCGACTGTAAAATATTTATTTTCAGTTTAGAATTAAGAATATTCCATTTTTAAAACGTTAAATTTGTAGGATTCCTCAATTGTTTCAACTATGCATAACCATTTTCTGAAAAGAAAGCTACATAAATACTAATAATTTGATCAACTCAAGAGAATATATGGTGAGCGATAATATGTTTCCATCATTTTAAGCCCCCCATCGGGCTTAATACATCGGTGAGCATGTGCACGACGGTGTTGGCGGTGAACATGCTCGCCCATGTATGGGGCCTGCGAGCCTTGAACCGGTTCCTGTTTTCAAGCCAATTCATGCACCATATTTGTTCGTGGTTTGCATTTTTTTCTCATCTCCCAAACAAACAAACCCATCGCAAATAGCCACAATAGCGTTAGCATCCATTTTAAACACAGCTGGACTGTCACAAATGAACTGTCACAGCTCAACTGTCACAGCGCGAGAGAAACAAGAGTACTGGGCGGGCGGTGGTGGAGAGCACGTTCACCAGCATGCTCGGATCATCTGTCGGAATCACCGAGCATGTTCGCGAGCATACTCGACCATCCGTTGGAAACGCCGACCATGTTCGCAAGCGTTTTCGCCAACAGGCTAGCGAACATGCTCGCCCGTGTATGGGCTTAAGTCGCACAAAAAGTAATTTTTTATGTAAATAAAAGTTGAACAACACTTTCACGGTTACTTCTAAACATTTCTGTAGTAAATGCATGTTTACAACTGCACTGTCAATTGCACTGTTGTCAATCACATATGTATAAGGAAAAGTGGCTACTAACTTGATCATGGTACCTGACCAGAGGCATTTTAAAGATAAAAAGAAAATCTTTTAAATTAATTTTTTTCATTAAAAAAATCAAATGTTTACTACCATAGACTAGTGGTCTTTGTGGTGATCTAAAGCAAAGTATTACCATTACAGTAAGCCAGTTGGTAAATCTTGAATCAGCAATGTTTGGCTTTTCAGCACAACTTGCTACCATTGAGCTATATTGTTCTGTAAACCTTTCCTTCTTGAAAGGAAAATTATCTAAATCCCTCTCAGTCATCCCAGGAATCAAACCTACTGCTCAAAATTCAAGGAGGATAATAAGTATGTAATTAATAGCATGCCACAAAATTATTTAAAACTCATGAATATTTGCTGGATTTGAAGAATATTTGCTATCGTCAGATAACTCACAGCAAGGAAAGGCGCTCTCATGCCTCTGATGTCTTCTTGGCGAACTCCTCCGTAGGCTGATAGGATCTCTCTCTGACCAGCAATCTCCTTGGTCCACTTCTTGACTGAGAACTGCTCTCCGAAACTATGTCTGTAGCACAAAAAAAAAGCCATTTATCAGCACACACACGGGAGGTATTAACATAACAGTAGTTGATAAACCATCGAAGTGAAGATTTGTTATTACTGTAAGCCTTCAATACTTGAATCCTGATCTAAAATCTGATGTGCAAAGGCTTCTGATTGAGGATAAATGTAGCATTAGCAGAACAACAACTTTCCTAAGGAGGTGCTTATTTGTTTAATTTCCATGCAGAATAAAAGCAAGAGACCACAATCCAATCAGCTTCAATCAAACAAATGGTGACTGATTGGCTGTAAGGGACAAGAGAGATTTTCAGACACTGCAATGGAGTCCACCCAAACATAACTCATGGAAGGAAACAGTATTTTTTCTCCTATGGTTGTGAAAAGCACCCACAAAACTTGTAAACTGTTTACGCTTGTGGTGTTTTCTGTGAACATATAAAGGAAGACTATTGTCTATTGTCCATCCCTATTATAGCAATCCTTTCATTGGTCTGACTTTCTTAACTGTTTAATGTGATAGTTTCCTGGAGAAGAGGATTATTTTGATTTATTCTGAATGGAGAGATCCTATTAAAGTCATAGGACGTATACAAAAAAATAATCTGATGAGATATATTGCCAGAAAGTTGATTTGGGTAATGGAAATTTCATGTCAATAAACAATTTCATGAAGCTAAATAAATCCAAAAAGATTTTAAATTGAAGCATGTGGTTTAAGCTAATGTCTTCTTTTAGATAATTTTACTAATTTTAGTACGTAATCTCTATTTCTCTTGACTTACGATACAGAATGTGATGCAATTTCATGTCCGCCTGCGTAGAGATTCTGAACTTGGCTATAGTCGGTCCACTCGTGGGATACATAGAAGGTAGCTGAAATTGGACAACCATTGGGGTTGGTTCGTCCTTTCTCGAAAAGGTCGCTGTAAAGTCCCTTGTTCAGGTCGTTGACTGAGTCGTCAAAGGTCAGAAGAACGATTTGAGGCGTTTCTTCAACTGGCAGATCCCCTGGCACAAAATGTTCTCATGTCAAAATTCATGGTTTCTTGTTATGCCATTTGTAATGGGTATGCTGACCAATGGTGGTAGAATTAATAACGTTTTTAGGCCTAATATTTCTGTTTATTTTTAATGAAACAAACTTTTTTAGAATTCACTAAATTTCTAGATTATGTATAATACCATTAATATTGATAGATATTTAGGATGAAAAACATGTTAATATGGAATTAAGGTAAAAAAGGTTAGTTTAAAAACAGAATAACTGACACATATTATTTTTAGGTAAAAGCTTGGATTAAATAAAACTGTGTCATCCTATTTTAAACTGTTGTTCTTGTAACTGCCATCTAGGCCTACTTCTGAAGAAGCCTCTGAAAGAGGTGAAATATCAAGTATTATTATGTGTGTGTTTTATGTCTTCTTTGACTCGTCTGCAACCTTTCATCAGGTGAGTTAGCTGTGACATATATTATTGTCATTTTTCTCAAGTCTAGGCCTACTGTTGATTCCTCACCAGGAATTTCTTTTCCTCCACAGCTACAGTCGGGCAGCAGACAAACGTCCTTACGACACTTGGCGGCAGTTTTGTCAACCTGAGGTGTTGGGTAGATCGGCTCCGGCCTGTCAGAGGTAAACACAACTATCATTCACAAATCTCCCAAATCTTAATGACCGTTTGTTCAAAACTACGAGAAGTAATTTTGAGTACCGTATCACAATACTTTAGAATTTTTCCTTTAAACTTAAGGGAAAATTTGTGTGGAACTCAAAGATGTAACTAGAATTACTCGAATTTAAGCATAACGTTTTCTTTGGTGTTGTGTTTCATACCATGCAGCTCATTGAGCCACACGCACGGGTTCTCTAGTCTATAAGAGTCCTTGATAACGGCTACCTTAGATAATTCTAAACAACTGCTGAAGAGTTAATAATTATCATCCAACAATATTTTTTCAAACACAAAAGTGATCATAATTTAAATATCTAAAATACTGTGAGATTAGAAAATTGTTTTTGTAGTTTTGAATTGTTTTCCAAGGGAGTCCATGGAAGCCAACGGCCATCTTGAATTTGCCCACCATAAGAGCAATGTTAATTTCAAACAGCCGCTGAAGAGTTAATTACCATCTCAAATTATTTTTTCAAAAACCAAAGTGATTTTAATTTAATTATCTAGTATACTGTGAGATTTTACATTTTCATTGTAGTTTTTTAATTGTTTTATGAGTTAAAATGTCTAGGCTCCAAGGACTCCTGATTTTGAAAAAGTCTAACTTTTTCTCCAACCACTAAGCGCATCCAATAATTTAAGATAATCATATATACTGCCCTTAGCGAAACATGTGTTAATTTTATTCTTACCTAGAAGGTGGGAATCTGTAGATGTCAACAAACTCTGCGGCCTTGGACACAATAGAGGTTGAGGGTTTCAGTGTAGGTCGGCCCCTACTTTAAAAGTCAAGATGTCAGCCTAGATTTACTCAACAATGAAAATAAAACCAAACAAATTCTTTAGCACTGCAAGTTGATAAAAATAAAATTGGTAACACCTGTTTGGCCGTTGAATGAATAAGTTTCATCCAACCCTGTGTCCAGTTTAACCATCAAATAGGAGCTGCATTTCCCAGGATTATCCGATCTCCAGGCAAGCATTATATCCACTCAGACTGTGGTACTTCTTATCCATGGAGACCAATAAATATCTACTTCTAAATTTCCACTTGAAAACTTTGGACATCTTATTAGGGGTAGCTCGGGTGGCCTGAGGATATTTTAAGGTCATGAATAGTACTATATGTGTTGGGCGGATTCCTGATCTACTTTGTGAAATATCATCTAACTTGGTAAATTAGTTTCATGACAATCAAAGAACAATGCTCTTTCAAATTTGAAATCATATTAGTTATGTTTATTTTTTCTCAACAGCATCTACCTGAGGGAAGATGGTGTGCCTCGCTGGGGTGGCTCTGCCTCGTTGGGGGAGACAGTGTATGTGGCGCTGCCTCGGTTGCGGCTGCTTCCCCTAGACAAGACACAAACTTCGTAATGCACAACTCATAGAAAGGGAAAAATGTAGAAAAACCAAATAATGTGAGATGAAATTATTTTTATGAAATTAATTTTTGGTAATTTTTATTAGGTATTTTAAAAAGATTGTTGAAATTTTCTACACGAAAACAAGCTATCACAGCTCAAATAAGATCTGGATTTGATTTGGATTGACAAAGGTAAAGACTGTTTTCTGTTTTAGCTACTTTCACACCTGATTATATTCAAGATCGTGAAAGGTTGTGAACGCTTTTTTACATCTTTTGATGGAAAATTTCCTCAAAAGTCCCTAATAGCCCAAGCAAATTAGGAAAAATAGAGGAACAAATCTATGTATTCCAAATTTTTTCAAAAATGTGTCGGGGAGGGTCCCCTAATGAATATATGAAAGGTGAGAATAAAGTCACCCTGCCGCTCTCTGGTGGTGGGAGGTGTAAATGCTCCAATTTTCGGTTTTTTGCTTATAACTTGAAAACGGCGTTTCGTAGCTTAAATTGTTCAATGTAAAAGTTAAAGCTCATTAAATTTGCTCATTAAATCTTTTAATCTTAAAAATACTGTAACTTTATACCTACATCATATCTATTTACATATTTGTATATACTATTGAAGTAAATTTAATTATCTACAACCTTCTTTCCGTCAATATTTCTGAAAAATAACAGAGAAGGAGAAACAAATAAGATTTTACAACAAATCTGAGATGAAAATTTATTTTTGAACATTATTTTTTTTTTTGAGCGCGGATATCTCAGAAACTATGCGTCTTTCACTAATAACGTATATGATCAAAGTTGTAGCAAATTTAATAAGCTTTGACTTTTACATTGAACAACTTAAGCTACGAAACGCCGTTTTCAAGTTATAAGCAAAAAACCGCAAATTGGGGCATTTACACCTCCCACCAGAGAGCGGCAGGGTGATTTTATTCTCACCTATCATATATTCATTAGGGGACCCTCCCTGACACATTTTTGAACAAATTGGGAATACATAGATTTGTTTCTCTATTTTTCCTTATTTGGACTTATTTGCTTGAACTATAATATAGATTTAAATTATTGATCAATTATTAATGTTTTACAAAATACTGTAACATGCTATGACCAAAACTGTGAGGTTTTGGTTTGATTATTGATACACTGAGTTTATAGGACATTTTAAATAATTACAATTTATATTTCTCTAAACAAGTAATACGAAAATTAAAGCAAATCAAAAGGATATATTGTTTTATAACATTGCTTACATTAAATGATGCAATCAATACTAACTACATCCAAGAATTTATGTACAATTATGTTGAAACACAGAAAGAGAAGAGCGATGCAACAATGAAATTAGTAATACATAGATACAGCTTGACTCTTGAGCAAATACAGTAAAAAAAAACTAGGGTTGAAAAAGTTATCATGCTGAGATTTATGTAAATCTGTGCCGTCTAAAAATTCTAAGGCAACATATTTCAAGGCCAATAATAGATTGTTTAACCCTTCACCACTTAACTTTAGCCAAGCAGATGCAAACATGAAACATGCAAGTTAATCTGATGGAGACGTGTTAAGTGCTACGTAGTCTACAGTCAAACTTCCTACAAGTCAATCGTAATCACAATCAGTACACAGGGCTGCACACAGTTATTTGTTACGATTCACACCACTTTAATACACATAAAACAATCATTTACATACTACTTACTATACGTCTGTTTAAGCTTTTTTACAATCGATGCATCCACATTGTATCAATCATTGTATCTCAGTTGTAAATTTTGTCTCTCCAAACTTATGTATTGTATGTATGGGGAAGAAAATATTTTCATAAAATAAGTCACCTTCGATTATTTTGTTATAATGACAACTCTTCTTCGAAATTTACATCTCAATAGTCACTGTACGGAGTTATTAAACTCAACTTATATAGCCAAATACTATAGTCCATGCACAAACTTTTGGCAGTTTAAGGGCGGTTTCTGGGGTTTCATCACACCTTTTTTAGCTAGGCTTTTATTGGCTGTTGCTTCAAAGTTGGGGTAAGGTGAAGAGGGTGGAATAGTTACCCCTCAAACCGCCAAAATTTTGTGAACAGAATATCAATTACATCTTGATTATCAATTTTACAAGGGCTTGATTTGTACTTTAGGGAAAAAAGATTTCCATTGTAATAGCACACAATTTTCCTCCTAAATCTAGCATTCTTTTTACTAAGCTTACTTTTTAAAGCATTCTTGGTAAAAATCAATGAGCTTTGCTACTTCATTGACATAAACAACATTTATCCATTAAAAATCATCATAAAATTTTACAAGCTGTAGCTGGATGATTTTGCTGTAACCAATATTTTATTTGTTAAAAAAAAAGGTCTTTTTGGAAATGCACAACTTTGCTAGACGTTGAAACTACACATTTCTCTTCATCCAGTTTTACCTCTACATTTTTGTTACCTCTACAACCTGAATTCAGGACAATCCACCTTGTTCTTCATTCTTCGGCCGCTACCCTATGGCTAGTTGAAACAAAAAGGCATGATTTAGTCATGTTGGTTTCTTAGAGCCATAAAAATCGTGCAAAATATATGAGCAAGCATACACATTAATAATTTGATCTTTTGAAAAAATACAAAAATCGTAGGTGATTCTAAATTTGTATTGAAACCCATGAGTAGATCTACAGCAGATTTCATGTAAAAAAATCATACTCGCATTAATTGATTTATGTTCAATAACGCAACATATAGACCCAATTTGACACATAAGCTACATAATTTCCTGTAAGAGGATTGGAAATCTAAAGCTTGAAAATATTATGACATTTTTTGTAAGTAGAATAAACTATAAAAATAGTATTTAAACCATAACCAGAAATAGTTTTTTTGTCATACCATGAAATCTACTTTTCACACCATAAGCACTATAAATTCTGTGTTGGAGGTGATAGGTTGGATTAGATTGAAATTAAACATTTTAGGAACTAACTAGCCACCTGCCTTTTTGTAAAGCTTCAAATAGTGATTCACCAAAGGCATTGGATTTTTTTCTTTCAAACTGTACTAATGAGTTTGGGACAAAAAGAAATCATGACATTACTAATACAAAGTAGTGCTGTGTACCATCCACTACGCCGTTCATTCTGCATTGTACATTACTCTTTTGTAAAAGTTCAAACCCAATAATTTACAAACTTGATTACCCATCTCATGACCACACAAGACTAGCTGATTATGTGCTAAGAAATGAAATGTGAAAAAGTCAAGATATGCTTAAACCACCTTGCTTTATCAAATAAAATGTACAAAAAAAAAATATATATATATATATAACAGTGTGGCTAAATATTGTATGATTATCCTAAGCGAGGTAACAATAAATACAACTAAAGTGGTGTGATTTAAAATGGATGTGGTGTGTTACTGAATCCCATTTGCCAAGGTAAACCGTGAGTGTTCTAGTGGTCACAGTGTTGTAGTATATTGTTGCAAAGTTTGTGATGGTCGCTATTGTAATATTCATACAGTCCATATATATCTGATTCACAGTAAACTGTACATCTGTATAGTCTCAGTGCTACAATTCACAATGAAATATTGTCATTGTCAAGTAATGATGAGCGGCAAGCATGCATGGCACTCCCGTGCTAAAATTATGCACTTAATTAGCGGATTGAAAAAGTTAAAGACAGATGCTCAAGGATGATGGAAAATGTTTCAAATGAAAGCATGACCAGAAGAACACTGTAAAATTTGCTTCCTACCTGGTCAAACCAGGAGTTGACTGGCTTTCTGGGGAAGCTGATACTGGCCTGACTCTGTCATAACACAATCAGTGAATTAATCTCTGTCTAATGTTAACATCTTAAAATGTTAAGAGTGTTTTTTACAAGTGTTTGATAAAGTAACCAAAAATATTGTGAGTAGTACAGTGAGTATTAATCGATCAAATAGAAGAACAAAATGAGTGACGTATTCGTACCTTAGTGGTTTGTCGCCACAGTCTGCGTCGTTGTCCAGTTCTTGTGAACATTTGTCTGACAGAAGCGGCGGAGGCGTGTTGTCCTCTACACTAGGCTTGCGGCTGAAAGAATTCGAGGAGGGAACTGGTTTCGGGAAAGTGCCAAGTCTGAACTTGTCTCTAATTTTTTCTACTGTCGTCATTGCGTAAGGAGTTGTGCTTTCCACAGGAGTTGATGAGTTCTGACCCGCTCCTCTAAAGTATGAATTTACCTCTGCTGCTATCGGTGGGAATGATTCTGACATGACTGGTTTAGTTTCAAATCTGTTTGATCTTACAATGTTTCTCGGTGTGGTCTGGTAGAGTGTTGTTCTATTTGGGGCTTTGTTGTCATTTGTGAATGAAGATGATATCAACGAATAAGGATCAACCACTAATGGTACAAAGTTTGATTTCAAAGAATAGGTTTCTTTTTGTTGAGATTGAATACGTCCTCTTTCACGTGCATTTTGATATCTTTCCCTGTTATTTTTATCATCAGCCGTTTCTTTTTTCTGTTCTCTGGGAAAATCACTTTGGTCACTGGATTCAGTAAAAGCTGTTCCTTGTCTGATTGTTTTACTAACATCATCTTCTGCGGTTGGAGAATCGGTTGAGGTCTTATAGTATCTAACTTCTGGTTGTTCAGTTTGAAATCTTGCCGGTCGAACAGTTGAAATGTTTTCTGTCACATCCGTACTCGATGTTTCAGGTTGTACTGTAGTGATTCTGACTTTCTTTCTTATTTGCATTCTTCTCATGTTCTGTCTTCTTTTGATCACTTCTTCTATGTCCTCTGTAACATCATCTACCTGGTCTTCACTTGGTTTTGAAGTTGTTTTCCAAAATTGTCTGGCATTAGTGAATTGATACTCATCATAGTTAGGTACCGGGTTCGGTTGATTGTTTTCTTCCTCTTCTTCTTTTTGAATTCTGTCCTCGTTTCTGTTATCTGTAGAATCTGGTGATCCTTCATCAGAAACTTCCTTATCTAAGTTTACCTGATCACTTGCTTCATCCTCTGTCACAGGTTCAAATCTATTTCTATACCTCAATCTTTTGTTGGCTTGGTTTACTTTTCTAACGAAATCGGTACTGACAAAGTCTGTGTTTGGATAGCTCTGGGTGTTTCTGTTTTCTTGTCTCACAGTTGCCTCAGTAACCTGTTTCTCTTCAGTTGTTTGTGGGGTTTCACTTCTTGTTGTTGTTTCAGTTCTAGGAGGACTCCTTTGATGAGTAGGTGTTCTGAATGGCACAAAATCAAACTCTTCATTATCGTAACTCTCAGCATTGGTGAATCCTTTTGGTGAGTTCTGTTCTTCCTGTTCCTTTCCATTTTGACTATTTTGTTGTGTATAAATCCTACTTTGACTTCTCATTCTAATCTGATTACCGTTGTTATTTGTAGGCAATTTATTGTTAGCCTGATTGCCATCTTTTTCTCCAGTTGAGATTGGTTCAGAAACGTCTGTATGAGAATTTATGTCAGTTCTAGAAGTCTTATTAAATTTTTCAGGTGAAACAGTAATGGCTTCTAAGGTAGCTAGAACAAGACCACCTACATCCCCTTTCAATCTCCCTTCATCATTGTTGATTCTCAATGAATAAAGTGACTTTTGACCTGACTGTTCGGTAGTTTGAGATCTTGTCAATTGCCTACTTGAAAGATTATTGTTCTCATTTTGTGTTTGAGAAAGGCTTTTCTTTGGGTATGATGAATTCAAACTTTCTTTCACATTAGATTCTGTTTTCTTTTGTTGGAACCGTCGACTTAATGGCACATATGAAGGAGTATAATTTTCTAAGTCTGAATTCTCTTCTGTCACTTGATAGCTAGGTTGAATATTTCTCACAGGCGCACTCAAAGGAATTTGTTCTGAAGGTTTTTTGTAAGTATCATCCTCACTCAATTTTCCCTCATATTGAAATCTACTTCTGACAGGTTTTATAGGAATAAGTTTTACAACACTTTCCTCTATTGAAGGAGTAGTCACTAAACGGTTAGAATACCTTCTAACAGTCGGACCGTCATCTGAGACCAGTGGAGTTTCTTCTTTTGCTGAACTTCCATAAGATTTTTCTGTTTTATCCGCGTTGAACCTTTGAGGTGGACGAACATCGGGTAATTCTTGAGTGTTGACTTTGCTTCTAATTCGAACATCAGTTTCATCATTTGGGGTTTCTTTAGTGCTTCCATTTAGTGAATTTCTATCTTGACTGTTATAAATTAAGTTTCTTCCTTTTAATATATCCTGAGTTTCTTTTAGACTCAGTAGCACATCTTCTGTTTTCTTCTCGAGAGCTTGTATTGCCTTCAGTCGAGACTGTTCAAGTCTAATTCCAACAGTCTCTGGTGACAGTGGGGGCAGTTTGTAAGGTCTCACAGTCTCAGCAATATTGTTGGTTGTTGTCGATAGTTCTGATGTATCTTCATAGTGTTTGTTGCCTCTTCGGATAGAATACTTTGGTCTCAATGTAGACTCTTCAGTTGTGGTAGTGTCAGTTGGACTCTCGGTTGTACTTGGTACAACTATTCTAAACGGTCTTGTTTTTCGCTCCTTGGTTGTAGATTCAGTCGACTCAGGAGATGTTGTTGATGATATCTCACTTGTTTCAAGATCATGTAAAAAGTATGTATACTGTCTAGAACCTGTGTTGGGAGATGGTTCTCTCTGCAGGGTCTGTGAATTTAGTGCATATGTTTTAGGATTTGTTCCCGCCACCTTTGGCTCAGTTCTGGATGGATTATTTGCAGCAGCATTCTCCAATCGTATATAACTCAGTACCAGATTATGTGTGTCACGTTGCGGACCACTGCTCGGTGGATCTTCCACTCGGAAAGAGGTCAAGCTCGGCCTTTGTCTCGGACTAGTCTCAGTTTTTCTGGACGAGGTAACGGGTGTCTTATCGTCATCAAAAGAGAATGAAGCTGTCAGCGTCAAACGTTTGTTAGTAGGAATGTTTGGGTCAGCCTGTTTTTCAGTCAAGTTTTCTACACTGGTTGTAGGTTTTGCAGGATCTTGACGCTTAGATGTTCTGGATCTGAAGCAATACGATATCAACAACAAATTAAATTTCCTTTTCTATAAACGTACAGAGTTGGCATGGAGGATTATAAAGTAATTTACCAAAGGTGGAAAACAGTTATTGACTGTCTTGTTTGAAAAGAAGAAGAATTTTAAATGTGAGAGAAAGAGCTGTAATGTCAACAATCTATGAAGTATGTTGAACTTTAGGTAGTTGATTATTTTTTGAGAATAATTGGTACAATGTGGTTGCATTCTACAAAATAAATTTAGAACCCACTCTAGCCTTACATACCTACCATTCTGTCAATTTGCTTCCAACAAATAATTTTATTGCCAATATACGTACTGTGCAGATGAATAATTTATAATTAATAACCTTCATTTTTCAATATTGATCCTTTTTCAATAATTTGTACATTTGTTCAACTCAATGCTGTTATTTCTTCAAAATGATAGTAGTTTAAATGTAATACTTGTAATACGCAAAATAGATATGCTATACAAACTTCTGTGGTAATAACTTTGGTCAAATTCGTTTGATTTGGTTTCTCACTAGATTTTTGCTTTAAATTAACTGAACTTTTTAAAATATTAAAACATTTTGATTGAAGTTTGTTTAGCTCTCTTTGATGAAATTACAGTGTCGTCGTTTAGCAAAACAATTGCAATAACTTTAAAACATCCATCAGAATCTTCTAAAATCCTCATTCCTGTAGAGGTTCTAACAATGAATAATGTTAAAAGTTGTTAATTTTAATATATAGTTAAAATTTAGAATTTTATTTGCATTCAAAAATCCACTGGTTGTTCTACACACATAGTTCATACTCACTATTCCATTCATGTACCTATTTTGAACATTTATTAACAAATACATTTTCACATTTAGCACAATTAGTGTGATTTTCTGTTGCACAATAAACATCAAACACACATACAAACATTTTGATCGTCTACACAACCACCAAGCCAGGATATTACAAGAATGTGTTGGTTAATACAAGCAATATTGCTGACTAGGCATTCTGTCGATGGCATGCGCTTACCTGTTACCCTTCACATCTATATCAGCCTGCTTGTAGTCAATGTCTTCATCCTGGGAAAAGAACACCCATTTGAAACTTTAAAATAAGTTTTACTTATGGAGTTATGGTAGCAGTTGATTTGGCTCTTAAAAAATCATATACTTCAAATCTACAGTCAGCTAGTTTGGAGATATGATAATAACATTATACAATAGTAGTACATTTTGTTGATCAAATGTAAATACCTGAAATTGAATGATTTGGTATTGATCAGAGTTACGTTATTAAAGTTTAAATTGATATTTTTATCTGGCAATAATTATTCTTATTTTGTGTGTGTAATGTTGTGTACACAGTGAGACATAATAAGCCCTTCGCTAAATTCCCTACTGAAAAATACCAGAAATCAAGCATTTCTTCAAACACAAACAATAATTGAGTCATTTATCAGCTATTTATTATAATATGCCATGCATTTTGTACAGATGGTTCTAAAACTTTTATTTCATTAACATCAGTAGTGTTGCTAGCCTAGTGGTTAGCATCTCAGACTTTGGTGAAAGTGTACAGGTTCAATCCCTGACATGTACACAAAAATTGGAGGGATTTTGGCCGCTTTCCCTTAAAAGCGTCAATGATTCTACATAATGTCGTGCGCCTAGACAACCACAAAAATGAATAGAATAAATGATTCTAAAAGTAGTTTGTACCTGAAGGTTGTAGTTGTCACTGTAGTCTTGAGCCTGGCTGTAGACGTCCTGTTGTACCGCGTTGTATGACGGCGGGGGAGGGGATGGTGTGTACTGGAGAGTGGGTTTGCGGGAGGGAGGAGGGGGTGGGGGAGCTTGCACTTGCTGCTGTACGGGGGGTTTGGGCTGTGACTGGTATTGTTGTCCCTGGTATTGACTGTAGTCTGGAAAAAAATAGTCAAAGACGTTTCATAACATTAACAAAGAGGGAATGTATTGTACATTACATGAATAATAAAAAAATATGTTTATTGATATAAAACAAGTTTTTTATACTGAAAAAATGTTAATAATAACATGTATGTTTCAAAATTACCAGCTTTCATCATGAATGAATGCAGAACTTCCATTCAAGGTTATATTTACAGTTTTGAAGTAAAAAATGTACACAGTTGAATTGGCCCACCGACAGAGTATGGTCATTTAATGGATCCTGCCAAATAAGTTAAAATTTTGCCTCATGAAACCTGAACGTAACTTAATTATTGTAAATCAATCGAATACCTTCATATAAAAACTAGTGATATATAATGTTAGTATTCAGTTACATATTCATATTCGTATTCATTTGAGATGGGGACGCCATCTATGTGCGTATTTTAACCCAAATATGAGTTAGAATCTGACAAACAACCCGCTTATTTACCTCTAAAACATGGGATATGGCAATGAATCTATCCAAAGTGTGACGTCATGGATTCTGCAGCATGGACTGCTTCTCTAGCGGGGCTTGGTTAGGGGCACAAGGGAGACGAAAATTCCCCCGCAACGAAGAATGGAGGGGCTGCAATTATCTCGGGGCCCATAGTGCGTCGCTTGTAAACCAAATACCTGATCCATAAGCTACAGTACTGACTTTTCAAACCAGCAAAGCTCTGTTTATTAGTTACTTTATAGAGTAACATACCACCTTACCACCTAGTTTAAACTTGTTCATTTACCAATGTCCTTGTACAGATCGGAGTCGTCCTCGTATATGTTGTAGTAAGGGTCGTAGGGCGAGGGTGTGTACTGCTGCTGGGTCGAGTTGTAGCCTCGTCCTGTCACGCGAGTGGTCGTCTGCTCCACATATTGGGGCGGTGAGATGCTTTGACGGCTGTAACATTGTTATCGTCACAACATATGCTGTATACACATGAAATTAAATATTGAACATACAATTTTAAATCCGATAAAAATATACAAATTAAGACAGTGTGGTATTGTGTAGATGATACTCAAGTAGTTAGAAGATTGTACTGTAATCAGGGTATCTAAACTGTTTTGAAAAGCTAACCTTTGCTAACAAATAATACCGACTATATTTTAAAATAAAAACTAATGTTGAAATTCAAAGTTTTAAAACTGGACCCTATGTAGAAAGCAAAGTTTAAGTATCGCCATTTACTTTTGGGTACAGGTAGAGATCCCATCTATATGGACCAGTAGCATTTAAAAAATACCCCCGCCTCAGCAAACCTACAGACTAAGCGAATTTCCATTTGCCTCATTGGATTTACGCTAAAATGTCTCCTTAAAAATATTACGTTTATTCCCTATTTAAATACAATTAGTTTAACAAGTACTTACGTTTGCTGTAACAGGGAGGATAACATATTATTTTTTGTTATTTTTTTGTTTTTTTTTGGTTTTGTAAAATGGTTATAGTTTAGTAAGTAATGCATTTTCCAAATTTGATCAAAATATGTTCATAAACAAGCAAACTACAACAGTCTACTTATTCTCCATAAGAATAACATGGGCATTTAAAATTTACAGTTTTTGGAATTTTCTCCGTAATCATTAGGCGCATAAAAACGCTTCAATATACTAATAAATTTTTTATAAGCTCCACATAATGGTTTGGAAGTTTTATGTTTTTTGGGTCTAAAATGGGAAAACCAATTTTTACCCCAAAAAAGCCCCATAAGGGTTCCAATAGTCCAATCATGCTGGTTCGCGAACTCGTTCGAATAAATGTAGGTTTACACGTTTATACCAAATCTCATAAAAATCTGATTATTTTTGTTTGAGTTATCGTGCTATCAGAAACATATTTGAACGGACGGTGTTTTTGGCCTCTATGGAACTCAAAACGAAGAAGTAAGTCGGTGCCGGGTCCAGGTCTTACCATGAGTACTACGGTAATAGCTTATTCCCTATATAGGAAACTCGCTAAAAGAGTTTGATATAAGAACACAAAAAAACTGATAAAGGTAACTAGATTAAAAAAGTATATAGTTGAATAAATGAGCCAGCCACGTTTGTTTGAATGAGCAAGTGTAAGAATGCTAGTTTCTGTTTTAATTTTTAAAATTATTATTATTGATGTGATATAAAAGATGGCTTAGCTTATAGTTTGTTGTTCCTTAAGTTTGGCTTGGTTAAAAAATTACATATTGACAGAATTCAGCACTTAACAGTGAGCAATTTATCAGCGGCTTTCATATAAAAACTCATACATCAATCATCATTGAAAAACTGGCTACATATAACCTTAACAGGAATGAAATTTCTATTTCTGTAAACAATCAAAGGTAGTTTACAATTGAAATCTGACAAAATTCCATCAATTTTAGTTTTAACTGCCCATTTTAATGTTGCCCGTTCTCGTATGAATGATATAAAAATCACTGTAGGGTTGTGATTTTGTGAATATTTGTCATTTTGGTCAGTGAGTAAACAACAGTCAGTGGTTATTATCCTGCAACTTCACCTCAAGGCATTGATTATGTCAGTTTGTACAGTGAGAGACATTTTACTTACCCATGTGTGAGAGAGTTAGTCAGGTGATTGTTGGAGTTGGAAGTAAGTAGCGTCATGAGAGATCCACTTGTTTCTACGTCAGAAGTCGAGGTCAAGTTCGGTCTAGTCAAAGGTCGCTGGCGGAAGTCTTTCAGTGATTTAGGATTGTGGAGTGAGGTGGATGAAAAGTTAACTTTTGTACTGTCAGTGATTTGTGAGCTGTTTTGTTGTGATTGTTTCAAAATCGTGTCAGTAGGTTTAGGGAAAGGTTTAAACTTATTGCTTTTACCAGAATTCCGATTGACAGATCGATGAGTGGTCCCTTTATCCGCTGATAAGGCTTTGAGTATGATATCTTGTGGTATTTGGTTTGGTTGTAATTTAGGGGGAAAACTGTTTTGCAAAGTCTGTTGAGAAGATGTGGATTTGTTCGGTTTTAGCGGGATAGTGCTTGATTCTAATAGAGTTTTTATGAAATTAGTATTTTTGTCATGAGTCAGCGATGTGATGTTCATTTTAGGAGACTCATTTTTAAAGACTGGATGACTGACAGAATTGTTTTTCAAATTAGACTTGATCAAAGATTGTTGACTTTCAGCGATATCTTCCACCACTTCGTATTGTCCGGTTTTGAGAGGTTTCTGTCCTTTTCGTTTCTTATCTTGATCATAATCATAATCGTAATCGCTATTTTTCAAACTATCGTCTTCATACCTTTTATTAGTATTGCTCTGGGTACATTTGTGATTTTTGTATTTTCTTCTGCAATTAATCTCTTCATCCTGAGAATACGGAACATTTGGATCAGTGTCATCCTCCCTTTCATCTGAAGTGTCATCATATTCTTCATCATCTTTTGTTTTCTCAAACGACATAGAATCTATATTTTTTAACCTATTTGGAATATTAGGAGGTTTTATTGGCTTTAAATGTGGTGAATGGAGGTTTTCAAGGGATTGGTCCTCGTCAGAGTAATCATATTCCTCATTGCTATCATAGTATTCTTCATCATCATATTCTTCATCATCTTCTTTGTACTTTGACCGATCCTCATGTGGTAAACTACTCAAAGAGTTTTGCTGATGTACGGTGTACAATGTTGGTTCATCATTCGAGGATCCATACTTTGGATCTCTGTTAGGGTAGTAATCTTTATTTCTCGGATCTCCAGAAAAAGTATTGAAACTATTAGTAAAATTAAAAGTATAAGGTGTTGGTGACGGATATGCAAAATTATTGGTCTTGTGGTTTCTAGGTACAGTTTGAATGCTGCTGTTGTAATTGTTCTTGGACAAAAAACCACTTAACTTAGCAGTTTTTGTTCCAGAAGGAGCATTACCATTATGTTTTATATTAACATGACTGTTATATTCATCCTCTGAACTGTATAAACTAGGTGCAGATACCACATCTGATGGTCTGCTATTTGTGTACCTCAGTTGGTTATTTGAACCTCTGATTTGCTGAGGCGCTTCTGTTATATATCTAGATTGATTCAATTTCGGTTTTGACTTAGTTCTGTGCACGCTTTTTGTAGTAAGCGTTGGCCTTGAAGATGCTTGTTCAACATTAGAGCCATACTGATAAGGAACCTCACCTGAATCTTGATCCTGTTTATACTGTGATTTTTTATGACTATTTAAACTATTCACTCTATCTTCTGATTGTGGGTGATATTGTGTTGGTGGGTGTTTACTCGACAGTCTTGAGTCTTCAGATAAACCATCAAAAAATGTATCAAAGTCAAAATCAGGGTCTGAAAATGGGTTAGTGTCATCTTTATATTTTTTATTTGGCTCCTCGAAGAATTCTTTAGGTGGACGAGGAAAATCAGGCGATTCAAAGTCTATCGATGGATCATTTTCTTCTTCAGTGGAAGAATGATGTTTTGTTCCTCCATTTCTTTCTTCGTCTTCTTGAACTTCCTCTTCTTTTGAATCATCTTTCTCATCAGTCTGGCTCGATTCTTTTTGTGAACTTTCTTTAGAATCTGACTCTCCACCATGACGAATGTTCTTTTTGTTACTTTTGTTGGTGTTTGAACCAGTATTGAGTTTATTCTTTGTGTTGCGCTTCTCACTGTTAGGTTTGCTGGGTCTTTGCTGGTTATCTTCATCATCTTTATCATGTTCATATTTTGTAGGAGGAGCAAGTAGAGATTCTTCACTGTGACTCGCAGATGGGCTCAAATTCAAAGATGGTTTGGCACTAGGTTTTCTATGTTCGGTAAAAGTATCATTCTTTACGAAACCTTGATGCTTTCCCTGACTATTATTAGAATTGTTTGAGATTTGTGTTTGATTTACAAAAGAACTAGCTGTTTGTTGAGTGTGATCCTTACTCCCAGCATTGGGCAAAGCAAACAAGTTGGGAATTATAGGTGACGTGTTATTCGATGATAAAACAATTACATGATGAACTGTCGCATTAAACGGAAAGTTGTTTCTTGGCAAAGTTTCGAGATTGAAAAAAGCATAGTTGTCCGGCTGATTTACCGGCAAGTACGGGTTGGTTGTAGGTTGACTTGCGGCAAGATTCGGTCTATCTACACTGCTAGGAGTTATGAGAAGTTCAGGTGAAGGTTTTGGTAGTTTCACACCTTTCCCAACAACTGGGACAAACTCATCATGTTCTTTTATGGGAAATCTAAAAGGTCTGGAGAATTGTGTGATGGGTGCATGTAGCCTCGGAGGTATGTTCTGTTTGTTGAAGTATTGGCCATTGTCCTGACCGTAGTGGTGTAAGGGAGGAGGCCAAGAGGGTGCGGGAGGAGGGAAGGCGTGGGCGAAGGGGGAGGTGGCCGCCCAACCGAGGTTCGTTGAGGCGCTCGGATGATAACTCCGGGTATCTCCTGGGAAGCTTAAATTACAACACAATTCATTACTGTTTGTCTAAATGTAAAATATTGTTTGAAATGATTTATAAAATTACTGAAGTCTTCTGTTTGAGAAAACATTGTAAGACTCATCTTTATTTAATAATAATAGTTGGGGACATTTAATAAAAATAAAATCCTATATTGGTTTTAAAATATAACAAAAAAAATTAAACTTTGATAACAATAAATCATAAATACCCACAGAGCCAGACTAAGTAAGTTTATTGATTTGGTAAGTTGAGTTTTATGGTACTGGTAGTGCACGTTTTACTAAATGATTTATTAATTTACTTTTGGTTCTAGCCTACAAACCATCACTTTTTATCAAATGATATTTTAAAATAGCTAAAACATCCTTAGGGCGAAGAAAAGTTAAGTTTTTTTTTTATTTTGAAAGTAACATTTACATACATAAAACATAAGAACATGACATATTGACATGAAGAAAATATATTATAAATTTTACTTAATCACACACACAAGAATTAATCAGGATCTAGGTAACAACAATGAAATGTAAGAAAGGTAGGAAAGAGAAATAAAAAGGTTAACAAGTATAATAAATGGTAAGAAGGCATAGGTTCAATGTCAAACTGGGCAACATTCACTTACACCAAATAAAGAACATTCTTAAAGATAGTGTCGGAAAGAGTTGTATTTTTTACTAATTTCAATTATATTATAGCCATCACAAAGAGGAGCTTTTAGTTAAAGCACGAGAGAAGTACAGTATGTTGTGGTTCACTTTGACAAATTATTTCTTACTATTGGAATTTACCTTTTAATTTTCCAGTTTCTAGAAGATTTCTCTAATAAAACCTAACCTTCTTTACCATCAAAGTGTTTGATAGTAGTGATATTGACACAGTTAGTGTTTGAGAGTAATGATATTGACACAGTTAGTGTTACTGATATTGGCTGTTGTACCGATGGTAGTTAGTTTTTATTTGAAATAACAAAACAATATTATTTAATCATTGGCTAGAAAGATTAAGAAAGAGTGACCAGCAGTTTAGAAGTTTTAGTTTTGTAGGGTTGGTAGTGGTTAGTGATAACTAGGTTCAACTTTGTCAGTTTTAAGTTCACTGGAAATATGGTCATCTAAGTTGTGGTTGCTGTAGAAAATTGTAAGTAGTTTTAATATTGTTTAGTAATAAGATTTTAGCTGATTTATTGTATATAGCTTTGTAGAAATCACTTTTGGAAAAAGATGAAAAGGAATGAATAGTTTTCAAATCAATTTTAATGCATTTCACAAGGAAAGAAAACAAGTAAAGTTTATACAGACCTGTTGAGTTTTGTTCTAGGAGAAGCACATTTTCACAAGAAGTTGTAAAGATCTTAAATCTACTTTTAATTATTAGAATTTATAGAGAATAGTTTTTATTGGGTTTGTGTGATGTTTTCAGACAGAAATCAACCACTTCTTGGTACTACCACTTCTTGTTCACCTTCTTACGATTGGTCCAGTAGCTTTTGCACCACTTCTAGTTTGCATGGTATCTGCTAGTGCCTGTTCTGACCATTAAACCAGTGTCTCTGTTTAAAGTAAGATCTTTCCACTATTTTATTATTTAGTATAATTTTTGGAAGTAACAACTGGATATTTAATTTCATTTGGAAAGTGTATTTTGAGAAATTTGACATCCGTAAAATAAATGCATCTTTGGCCTACTTTGTCTTTTAATTTATCTCACTTCTACTACCAGCTTAAATTAGATTCATCCTAAATTAAAGTATACTACCTAATTGGCTACAAGGTAGGGGTATACTGTTTACCTGAACTTCACTTGTCGCTTTGTCCGATGGATCGCTCGAGAGGATGAGTGTCGCTTAGTCACTGAGTCAGTTCTGTTTATAGTCAGTCAAAACAGTAACCAGTGAATCAACAAGTCATAACACATAATGATGTGGTTTGTCGCAAACAATCGAGATTACAGTATTTAAACTTTTTTAGTCTTTTTTAGTCTTTTTTTGCCTTGTTAGATATACCCTTTGCACTCAATTACTTTGGTTCAGATATAATCATGCATGAAATTATAGTTAAATGTAAAACTACTATCATGCAAAACTATCTGATCAAATAGATTGGGTACAATAGATCTTCAAGAATAAATATCCAGCAAAGCCAAAATTTACTGAAATAGTATATTGATCAATAAGCAAATAAACAAAGCCTGAAAATATAACTTGCAAAAGTTACATCCCTTCTTCCTTTTATTCGCTTTTTTAAACAATCATAGGTATATTTTCTAAATTTTTTTGACTAGCAATAACTTTTGTAATTTTTTAAAAAAGTACCATAATTATATCCAAGCTATAGCATTTAATGGAGCAATAAAGTTTCAGTCGTAATTTATCGTAACTTACGTGTACTGCTGCTGTGTGCCGAAAGATATGACGGACAGTTTCTCTCTACCATTGGATGGTGTGATCTGCAAAAGACAGTCAATTCTTGAGTTAGTAAAAATTTACGTAGAATATAAGGCAATAAAATATTGAACTAGTAGGTTGGTAGTAGGACTACGTTAACACGATTTCCTTAGATTCGTTTAAAGATCGCCATGGAGATTATAAAAAACTGTCAAAACTGTCAGATAGGCCTGAGTGCGTTTTGACTCCCCAGAGTGTAAGATTAGTGATTCAGGGGAGGGGTATTAGTGGAAGGGGGTGTAGTGGGCAGGATGTAACGGAGACCGGGTACAGTTTCTTAACTAGGCTACCCTAATATCGATTGAAAATTAATATAAATTTGATTAGTAAACCTTCATTCAATTTGTTCATAATCAGCAAGTTTGGTTAGGTTATAACAGTGTCATTTTATTCTTAAAATAAATTCTGCTCATCCCCCCGGTCAATCTTTCCACTCCCATACGCGCCGCACCGTGGAACCGGTCACTGATACCAGGCCGGCACTCGCCCCGCCAAGCCTCAGGCTGTAAAATGACCCTCCTCAAAGTGTTAAGGCAAACGGCACTCGGCCCTGCACTCATTAAAAGTGCAACGATCAAGGACAGCTGGCTGCAGTTTGAACCATCCTAAAGCCATACAAACTTTCCTCAGAACTAAACCAGCGGCCTCATAATTATTTTGTGAGCTACTCCAGTTGTATTATTCATCTGCAATGCAGTTCATTCATTGTAAACAAGAACTGAGACCCCTTGACAATATGATTGCAGAGTTATATCGTTGCTTTATCTCACAACGTGTCTTTTTCTAGTCACTTTACCTGGATAGCGTTTGAGTGTCTGCTAAGACCGTCTCTGTCCCTCGCCACCTGGCCCAGGGTAGCCGGCTGGCCTCGGTACACTCTCTGTTGTCTGTCGCTCTCAACTTCTTCTGCCGGCCCAAGCTCCTCCTCGGCGTATAGGTGATGCTGGAACATACACAACAGTAATGGGAGATCTTAGGCATTAGCTGAGCACTCAGAAGGCAATTGTTTGAAGCAATTTGTAGCATTTGAGAGCTTTCAGCCTAACAAAACATTCATCAAACTAAAACGTAGGCATCTACAATAATTAGAATCTTGGTCTGGGGAGATGATGGAATTCGCAAAAATGCTGAGTGACATTCCAGATGCGTTGCAGAAATCCATCTTCGGGTTAGTCTAAAATTCAATTGCTGAATTGAACTGAGTTCAATTGTGGACTGCCCTAAAGATTGGATTACTGAAAAATACCCGAAATAACCAAGATTTTTTCAAATTCAATGCAGTTGTCTTCCGAAGACCATAATTGTAAGATATTCATCAAATTTGATTCGTAAGTCTGTTTTAAAAGAAGTAATGTAAAATCACTTGTATCAATTGTATAACATCTTGATACAAAAGACTGAATCAATGCGACAATTTTAAAATTCAGTAGCAAGAATGAAACATACTTTGGGGATGGCTTCCTCACGCTGGAGTGGTCTTTGTGGCACATACTGTTGTTGCTGCTGCTGCTGTTGTTGTTGTTGCTGCTGCTGTTGTTGTTGCTGCTGCTGCTGATGTTGATGCTGCTGCTGCTGTGGTTGTCTAGTCTGTTGCTGCTGCGGCCGCTGTCTAGGTTGAGGCTCTTGTGACCTGGCGGTGCTCACTACCTGAACATCAGGGGCCCCGCTGCTACAGCCCACATTGCGGGGCCAGTCACACGTCTGGAGCTCGTGGCTGTGACACATGAATCACATCACGTTGTGTCTTTTAACTTTAAAAATATACTTATGAGGATATATAGGGTGAAAGTCATTGTCCTGTCATTCTAATTTTTTTTTTAGTTACAAGGCCAAGGTACCAAACTTTCAGCGGGGCTGAGATCATTGGCTCAATCCAACTACGAATTTTTATTCTAAAGTTCCAGCTTTAACATGGCAATAGGATATCCAATTCTATTGACTCAAATATTCTAGTTCCTAAATACGATTCTCTACTTTTCTTGCTTCACTGGACCAATCGTATTGTCCCACAGTCATCATTACAATTATAGTTATTCATCATCATTCCATGGCAGCCAAGTCAAGGTTAACTCACCTGTACATAAGTCCGCCAGTGCATGACTCTAGCAGTGCACCGCCGAACACACACACGTAGTACTGGGTACAGTCGGCGGGGTGGGGGTAGTACCCGAACTCTTCTGGGCAGTCAAAGTCCACCACCTGAGATGCTGAAGCTCCTGCGCTTGAGCTGGACACACTGCTGCGGCGTTGTTGGCTGAGTCCACCATCTGGAACACGAAGAAACTGTTAGATGAACATTGGAGTTAAATTGTGTAGCAAGACTACCTGAGTCTGGTCTCGATGAAATACTGGAAGTTGTTTCCAAGGTCTAGAATGAAAATGGGTGATAAAAGAGGAGGAACTTTTAATTGGCAGGGCAAGGAAAAGTATAAACAAGAAGTCCAAAAACACATAGTGGCCTTAAGAAAACCACATAGACCCATAAAATGCCAAAACCCTCCATAGCGATCTGCTTAGCATATTTTATTTGCCCTCTAAAAAGGAAATAAAAAAATACAAACTCAGTAACAAAAGTCTCTTCACGTTCAGTGAAAAGTTACAGGTTGGTCAAACAAAACATAAAACACTGAATGTAAAGGCTATGCATCATTTCATATTAAGGTGTATTATTTTATCCTTCTATAGTAGAGATGGATAAAGTTTTGAGCGTAAGACATTCTGATTACTGATTAGAAACAGTTGTGTTCGTAAAAGCTTTATAGAATATTCGGAGCATTTATTTATTTATTTTTGGAACATTCGGAGGGTATAGGAGCATTTATTTAAAGCTGAGATAAACCGAATAATAAAATTTATTCACCTTTTTCACAAGGTACAGTTTCAGTTTTACTACCACATTCAAAATGAACTCAAGGAATTCGTTCGGCACAAAACTGACAAAAACTTTGGGTAGGAAATATTTTGCAACGCCAGAGATCAGTTCAAGAGTCAATACAGGTTTGGTTGGACCTCAAGGTGGACGAGTTCTAGTTTGTGGTTAATTATAATACCAGCAGAAGACTGTCAGTGGCCAATCCTGAGTAAACCTGCTGCAGATGAGCTTCAGCTTGATATAAATAATCCTGGGTTATAACCCCAGGAATTATCAATAAGTTGCAAGTAATGACAAACTAAAGGAAAGCTGGTCCTTTTGTTTGTCAGAAACGAGATTTTGTGACTTTTTATTGTGTGTATCATGGTCATTTGCGATTTTTTTGTTTTTGTAAGGTAATGGTCCAAATCTTTGTCTTTTCACCATCTAACGTTCATATGTTAGATAGTAGATAGTATTATTAATTAGCCCAATCACAATTGATAAATTATCCCCTTGCCCAGACAATATTTTTTAGAGAAAAGAGGGGTGCGAACAGCTAAATTTTGATCAACGTTGAATTTCCAATTAATCCATTGGCATTGCTTTAGACCTAATTTATGGTGGCGTTTACTGAATATTCCCTATTGTTGACTTATGATTTATGATGATTTAAGTCTCCAGAAATGGTTTTTGTCATTTTTTCAAAGCAAACTAAACCTAAACAATTTTACCCTGGCAGAGAAATTTTGACATTGGTTGGGTTCTTCTTAGTTGAAAAGACATAGGTCTCCAAATGTGTGAGTAAACTTATATCTTTATAAGTACATAAGATTTCAATTGATACTAAAAAAACTAGTATAGATGAAAGTCTTATATTTTTAAAAGATGCAAGTAAAAGTAAGTTAAAGTTTCCCTTTTTTGCAACAGCATAAAACTACATGAGTACCTTGTCATGGCAGTTTCCAAGCAGACATTTAAACCACAAATTAACTACCGTACACAACTAGAAGAGGCTTTATAACGGCAACTCTGTACTAAACAAGCTTGATTTACGTCTAAATTGATTGTAAAATAGCCAAGTCATTGTAGCTAATAGTGCATTGCAGGCTACGTTATACGATTCCAACAGACGACAGTTATAAGTTATAACTGACATTTTCAGCTAGGAGGATGCTTTGAACATTCAATTATATTTTATCTTAACACGCCTATTTAAGGAATCTGGTTAAATTAAAGTGGACTCAGAAATCGCCCTGAGATCTTTTTGTTGTTTATTTACGGCTTTTCATAAATATGTTTGGTAGACGTAAACTTTTATACTAGTAAATTCAGAGTGTATAGGCCTATAGTTAGTTAATAAAGAACATTGATTTACCAAACAAGATAGCTGGATCCATACTACGTTAAATGAAGTTAGTTTAACGTTATGGTAATGTATAGGGATAGCGTACGGACATCGCGTAGATGTACAATAAATGTGGGTTCAATATTGTTAAGTGCTTGTGAATTGTTGCAAATAAATATTACTTATCTTTAAGGTTTTAAATTGACTTGTTTGAACCGAGTTCAAGTAAAAATATGTATTACTCCACCGATACAATTACAGTTTTAAATTACTAAGATGTTTAATTTAGTCAGTCTAAGATAATTGTCAATAAGATAATTGGGTTTATTTTTAGTGAGATATTCAAAGAAAAATTAAAATAAATAAATAACATGCATTTATAAATCAGGAATATTTTCTTCAACAAAATCAGCGGATTAATTTGGAGTTACAAAAAATTTACTGCTGCTATTGACTTTAGCTAGTATTTTTTTTCTTCCAACTACTTAGTACTGCTGGTTTCTACTGGTACTGGTGGTGGTGGTGGTGGTGGACTACTGGTCGCTTAAGGGTGCGTTCTACCCCTGCGGTTTCATGTGAAAGCAATGGTCAGCCTATAATAAATAAATGTCTCCAATATATTACACCCTATCCCGACACAACTCCACAATTACCTCCCAACTTTTCTCCAGAACCACTAACATGTGCGATCTACGACGCCACACCTTAATCCACAACAGTGTTTCCAAAGGCTACATTTAACATAGAATCAAAGTTAGGATGCCATTTTAAAGAGGATTAAACGTTGGTTAGTCTATGATTAAACTATCTAAAACATGGGGTGGCTGCAATATCGTGCACTATCGTGCCAAAAGCCTGAAAATATTTTAAACGTAGACGAAAAGTTACAATTTTAAACTGCTGTAACTTATTATAGAATCGTTACTTCAAAATTCTGAAACCAGGATCGCATAGGTTGTTTCTTGTTCTTTAAAACCCCATTTATTGTTTTTCACTAGCATGTGTAGCTAGCTTATATATAGGTAGCTTACAAAGGCAGTTGCCGTGGATCTCTGCAACTAGCAAATTTGAATCCGTAACGTACCGAACGCAACATCGTACTAAGAAATCTGAGCTGAGGTAGAGCGCAACCTTAAACCTCATTTAAACCTACATTTTTCAAGACACATTTTTTGCTGCGGTATGACAACAAATTTACTGTACTAGGCTATGCCAAGTCCACAAAAACCTTAAACCTTAACCACAAAAATCCTAGTGCTACAAAAACCACAAAGGTGCAAGAAGAGACACTTGGAGTGCTATTGTAGATTAGAAGAACCCGACGTGTTCTAAAACATATAAATTTTATTACCCACAAATTGTTACTCTACACATAATCAGAAGATAACTTAACTTTTAACTGATGCTATTATTAACTACTAATACAGATTTAGGAGAACTTCCTGCCAATGGACCCAGGAAGGTAGTTACAGTTAGGTCGAGTTACAGTTCATGTCACCCAGAGCTAAGAGAAGGGTGGGCGTGGTGCGGCTGTAGGTTTACCTTCACTGATACTTATCCCTGTGTGACCGACTCTCACTCATACACTATTTCAGTTACTTAGATACTCGTAAGAAAAAAAATGTTGCCCTTTATGCACCCTAACAACGATGGAAATCTTTTGAAATTAATAAAATATCAGGTTCACACGTCCATCGTGTGAAACTGAATCTGTCATGGCACTTTTGCCAAAAGGTGATCGCGGGACCAAATTTTGTTGTTGAATAGAATATTCTTCCACAATATTCTTAGAAAAATCGTGAACCAATAGATCTTACGGGTGTTTGACCTATAATCGCTAAAATGTCATTATGCCTAATAGTTTTTACTGTCTCATCGGGTGACTCTTTCGTCTAGACTATTTATGAAATACCCAATCAAGGCAAGCTGTGCCCAGCTTTGAGCAAACAAAAAGCTATTGACTTTTGTTAAGCCAGTTTACTTTCCGCACGGAAGTGCAAGCGATAAAGAGTGTATTGTGAGTTTCCAAATTTCTGCACGGAAAACACAATGGTTGTTTGTGTATCTAGTGTGCAAAGACACTTTGCGCTCGTTACACATTATATTTTTCCTACAGTTACTATAAACTTTGATAAACCATAGAAATAATTAGTCTTTCAAACACTAAACAACACGTTTTAGGTTAGGTCAAATGGGAAAAACTGGAACTACTTGATACTTGATACTTGAAAGTCTCCCACTTGAAGCACTGATGCGCCGTGGTCTTCAGTTTGTTGATGGCCTAATCATTGAAAATCTTCCATAGAGTAGTAAGGCCTCTGGAGAAGGAAGTCTTTTAATTTGGTTTTCAGGACTTTTTCATCTTCTATACTTCTTAGTTCTATTGGAACTTTGTTGAAAAATTTAACACACATGAATATTGGTCAATTTTTAGCTAGGCTAGATGACACCAACGATGTTAAAACTATATGCTATATAACGCTATATATAAAACTATAATGCTATATAAAACTCTATAACGATGGTGAGTTGTTTATATCGTTGGATGACACTGAATGAACGAGCTGATCGTAGTCGTAGTATCTTTAAGTGTTGACAACTTATTTTCAAGCGTACACGGATACGTGCCTAATAAAAACACACTGTTTTGTATTTTTTGGTTAGAATACTGGAGTGCGGCAAAAATGAGTGCAGCAAAAGTAATTAAATGCAGCAATTAGCTACTTTGCGTGCTCTAATCCGTACAAGAAAGCCCGCTTTGTCAGGTAACTATAGGACAACAATTTTCTACCATTCTCGTGACATTTACCCCTGAAATTATACCAAATTCTTCCTTAAGTAATCTGTTACATCATACTGAAAAATCCTCCCAACTGCAAGAATTCTGTTTCAGTTTCCTCCTAGGCTACATTTAGCATCAATACAACCATTCGAAGCTACATCGATCAGAGATCGGTACGTGTTGTCCATTGTTGGATGTGACCTTGGCGGGTAAATCAGACCTCCTGCCAGGCCGGGAGGAAGGACCGCCAAAGGTCAGCGACAGTGGAGGTCGTAGTGCGGGGGAG